TGTTTTAGTACACGCGCATCGCATTCGTTTCATTCACAGCGGTTACAGTGCAAGCGAATTACCGGTAGCTTCCCTACCAAGCTTGCTGGAAATCCTTCTTCCAAGCTTGGGGATATCCTTCTTTTCGATATTTAAGCGGTCTCATAAACACCCTCAATCCGTTAACAACCTGGCTCGAATAGTTATTGTACCCTCGGGGAGATTAACCTGTAACATAACTAAGTGAGTTTGTTTCATGAGAATTAAAGGTTAATATCCCGTCTCATCCTGTCTCATGCGGTTATCATCTTCTTCCCACACGGATTTATTTTCTCTGTATCGAAAAAAAACCACGGTACCATCGGCCTTTTGCTTTAAAATTATTACGATACACATCGGATAGATCGGCTACCCCTAGGTGACGATGGATCATCCGGAACATTAAAATACTTTACAGACGAAGAAGCGGACAATCCTGTGCATGTGCGCAGACAGCAGCTCGCGACGACACAGTCCTGCCGCTACCACACGCGTGACCATCTGCGAGGTACCGGTATGGTAGCCGCTGAGATTTCATTGGACACATCGCACTGCTCGAGCGCCTTGGATGGTAGACGACTTGGGTCAGCGTGGCAGAGATCAGGCCGGTACTGTATTACTCGTCAAACGGGCGCCTAACGATCAAGTCCAAGCTGGAGAGAATGGCGCCAGCATGTCCTTGGACCGACACTTTGGCTCGTTGGCGCGAAAGTCCATGACCACGGTCACGTATCCGTAATTCGTGTCTGGAATCCGGTAAATTCGCTCAAAACATACATGAAATAGTGTACTATATTTGCTGCAGGTTAAACAACAAAAATGGGTTTAATGCCCACGCGACCGCAGCGCTCTCGGAGAGCATTCCGATAGTACCTCCATCCATGCAGGGCATTGAGCAGTGTCCCCGGTACCTGCTGTGTACAGATGAAGGTGACGGAGCTCTGCCTAGCAGAAGCGATGGGCATCTCTACTTCAAACGCATCCTCTTCGGCTTTACACTATTTCAAGAGCGCAACCGGACTGCTCGCAGACTGCAACATGGACGCAAGCCTCGTGACTGCGCTTCGCGGCTTGGACAAGCCGACGCAGAAGCTCCTGCGCAACGTCGTGCATCTCCAGCCGGTCCAAGAACTCCTCCTCACCTTCCTCCGCGACACCTCGCGGTCTTTCGAAGACTGGATCTGGGACCCGAAGACGCGCGAGGTGCTTGGCCGCGTCGAAGCGTCGGCCGAGCCGCCTGCCGCAGCGCCAACGGCGGCCCACTCCAAGTTCAATCAGTTCTTCGCCGATGCGCTCCTTGAGCAGCGCGAGAGCATCGACATGAATGAGCTCTTGGAAGCCGCTGAGGCGGAGAAGACGCTCGCCAAGGAGCGCTTTGCCCGCAAGGAGTTTGCGAACGCCATGTCCAAGTACAAGACAATTGCCGACAAGGTCAAGCCCCACATCGCGATGAGCGACGGCCTCTGCGACTTGTACGTGGCGTGTTGCGCCAACGTAGCCGTCTGCGCGGTCAAGGTGCAGCATTGGCACCTCGTGCGGGACTATGCCCACGCCGCGCTGGCCGTGACCAAGGACCATGCGAAGGCTTGGTACTGCCTCGCCAAGTTCCACGTGCACGAAAAGTGCTTCAACGATGCGCTCGACGCTCTCCAGCACGCCATCACGTTGAACCCAAATGATCGCGCGCTTCTGCAACTGCAAGCCGAGATTCCGGCCATCGAAGCCAAGGTTCGCAGCCAGCTCGAGGCCGACCAAGCCCTCTTGCGGAAGCGCGCCGAAGCTGACTTGCTCGCCAAGGAGGAGGCAGCCAAGCGAGACGCCGAGCGCGTGGCCTCTGTGACGCGCTTCGTCGCACTGCCGCAGCCCCACGCCACACTCGGCGCCATCAGCCGCCTGAATGAGTTTGTGCAGCGGTCGCGCGTGACGGTACATCGGTCTGCTCTCCTTCCGTCTATTCAATGACGAGGCTCGTAGCTTGGCATCGAGTCGATCAAGATCACGGAAGGGCCGCCGCAGCGATTCCAGTGCACAATGAAGAACCTCACGCAGAACGAGGATGTGCTTGGTGTCGGCGAGGGGCTCAGCAAGCAAGAAGCCAAGGAGAACGCGGCCAAGGCAGCGGTGCTACAGATGTGGCAGCACCGGGCGTCGACGGGGACACTTCACGACGACGACAAGGCCTTCCTCGCGACGCACCCCCACATCCTGCACACATGGTCGTTGGACCCGCCGCTTGACGGAGGCGCCACGCCGGTCGTCGAGAAGACGTACACCTGCGCCATCTACCCCACGCCCAACGACGCGATGCAGGCGCCCAACATGCTCCTGAACCAGTACACGGCGCAGGGCAAGATGCACGTACGTCGCAGCCGTCGTCCGAGTGGATGCTGATATGTACGATGGTAGTTTGAGTACACGGTCGAAGACTTGTCCAAGCGCGACGCCAGCGACTTTGTCGTCTCGGGCGTTCTCAACGGGCGATGCGTCGCGACGGCCCGCGGTCCCTCCAAGAAACGCGCCAAGCTCGAGGTCGCCGAGCAAGCGCTCGCGATCGCGTACCGCGAGAGCCGCGAAGCGTTCCCAGACCAAGAGGACCCGTACGTCGGGTACCGTTAGGCGCTCGACGTGTATACGCCACCAGACTTCTTCATATACGGGTCGTGCTATGTGTGTTCCAGAGGCCTTGACGAGCATCCTTGACCTCCCAGCGCTTTGGCTTGCAGATCGCATGGCGTCACATGCAAGATACTGTGCTGTCTGCGACACATGGTGGCCCAGCTTCAAGTCGCTGCCGAGGCCGCCCATGCCACCGTCATACCTCGCATCCTCCTTGCAGATAGGCTCTATGCATATCCTACCAAGACCATCGCAGGCTTCGTCCGTGGGTCGTGGCTCCCAGCATCGTCTTCACCGAGCGCATCTTCCTGCGACGTTGGTCCTCGGGTGATCTTCCATGGACTTCCTTCCTCCATGACGTCGTCGGTACCTCGCTTCCTCCATGTACTCGGTCCTTGCTTGCAGGTCACCATGGTCATGGCAGCGCTTCCGGGGCAATGGCGTCCCACGTCGTCGCGGTCGCTCTCGAACCTTCCACGGGCAATTGCCGACTGGGCGGCCGGCAAGGAAAGATCCCTGACGAACATTCGAGACGGCGTTTCGGCGTGTATCCGGTCGTCCGGATACGTAACCACCCCCCGTGTGATTGGCCGGTTGGTTTCACTGGCGTGGAGTCTACGAATCCGTACATCGTACATTCTACGTGGCCGCGTTTTAGCTCTGTGTTTGTATAGTGGAATGGACGGAATGTACTGTACCTCGTCCGCAATGTACGCGGTCGGCCAACCGCAACCACAGTTCACTTTTCCATTTGCCCCAAATAGAAGCCGCCATCATGTTGCGCACGACCAGCAAGGTGCTCAAGCCCGCCCGCGCCAGCCGCGCCTTCTCGGCCGCCTCGGGCAACGAGGTCATCGGCATCGATCTCGGCACGACCAACTCGTGCGTCGCCGTCATGGAGGGCAAGAGCCCGCGTGTCATTGAGAACTCGGAGGGCTCGCGCACGACGCCGTCGGTGGTCGCGATCCTCGAGAACGGCGAGCGCCTCGTGGGCATGCCCGCCAAGCGCCAGGCCGTCACCAACCCCACCAACACGCTCTACGCCGTCAAGCGCCTCATTGGCCGCAAGTTCAGCGACAAGGAAACGCAGGAAGTCTCCAAGGTCGTCTCGTACAACATCGTCGCCGGCACCAACGGCCAGGACGCCTGGGTCGAGGCCCAGGGCCAGAAGTACTCGCCCTCGCAGATCGGCTCGATGGTCCTCACCAAGATGAAGGAGACGGCCGACGGCTTCCTCGGCAAGACGATCACGCAGGCGGTCGTCACGGTCCCTGCCTACTTCAACGACTCGCAGCGCCAGGCCACTAAGGACGCGGGCAAGATTGCCGGCCTTGACGTGCTCCGTATTATCAACGAGCCCACGGCCGCTGCCTTGGCCTACGGTATGGACAAGGCCGACGGCAAGGTCATCGCTGTCTTTGATTTGGGTGGTGGTACCTTCGATGTCTCCATCCTTGAAATCTCGGGCGGTGTCTTTGAGGTCAAGTCGACCAACGGTGACACGCTTTTGGGCGGTGAGGATTTCGATGAGGAGCTCCTCCGCTTCCTCGTCGGCGAGTTCAAGCGCGAGTCGGGCATCGACCTCAGCGGTGATGTCCTTGCCATGCAGCGCCTCCGCGAAGCTGCCGAGAAGGCCAAGCGTGAGCTTGATGGTCTTGCCCAGACGGACGTCTCGCTTCCGTTCATCACGGCCGATGCCACGGGCCCTAAGCACTTGAACATCAAGATCACGCGCGCCCAGTTTGAGAAGCTTGTCGGCCACCTCATCGAGCGCACCTTGAACCCGTGCAAGAAGTGCGTCAAGGACGCTGGCGTCTCGAAGGAGGAGATCAACGAGGTCATCTTGGTCGGTGGCATGTCGCGCATGCCCAAGGTGCAGCAGTCGGTCGAAGACTTCTTTGGCAAGCGCCCTCGAAGGGTGTGAACCCCGATGAGGTCGTCGCCATGGGCGCCGCCATCCAGGGCGGTGTGCTCCGCGGTGACGTCAAGGACATCTTGCTCCTCGATGTCACGCCGCTCTCGCTCGGCATTGAGACGCTTGGCGGTGTCTTCACCAAGCTCATTCCCCGCAACACGACGATCCCGACCAAGAAGTCGCAGGTCTTCTCGACGGCGTCGGACAACCAGACGCAGGTCGGCATCAAGGTCCTCCAGGGCGAGCGTGAAATGGCCGCTGACAACAAGTCGCTCGGCAACTTCGACCTCCAGAACATCCCGCCGGCCCCGCGCGGTATCCCCCAGATCGAAGTCAGCTTCGACATTGACGCCAACGGCATCGTGAACGTCTCGGCCCGCGACAAGGCCACGGGCAAGGAGCAGTCGATTGTCATCCAGTCGTCGGGCGGCCTCTCGGAGGACGAGATTGAGCGCATGGTCCGTGAGGCCGAGCTCAACGCCGAGGCCGATGCCAAGCGCAAGGAGCTCATTGAAGTCAAGAACGAAGCCGACTCGCTCGTCTACAACGCCGAGAAGACGCTCTCGGAGCACGAGTCGAAGCTCGACGCTGCCCTCGTCGAATCGGTCAAGGCCTCGATGCAGGCTGTCCGCGACGCCATTGAGAAGGACGACGCTGCCACGATCAAGGCTGCCCTCGAGGACATGCAGAAGGCCAGCATGAAGATTGGCGAGGCCATCTACAAGCAGGGCAACGCTGACGGCGCCGCCTCGGAGGAGGAGAAGAAGGAGGACGTCCACGACGCCGAGTTCAAGGACAAGAAGCCCTAAACACGTAGTCGATTTTTAAAGTGCAGCAATAGAGAAGGATGTATAGACTGTCGGCGCCATTGTAGCGACGAGCCTGGTACGCCGCTCTCAGCTAGCTGCCATGATACTATTGATTAAAGAGAGGTCGAGAAATTGCGGAATCAAAAATCTTATTGCTGAGGAAGAGGATTACGTGAGAATGTCGGCGCCCGAGTCGGTGATAAGGATCGTGTGCTCGAACTGCACCGAGCGTCCTTCGTCGGCCGTCGAGACGGTCCAGTCGTCGTCCCAGTAGACAATCTAGTCGACGTATTAGTGTTGGAGAGAGTCGCAGCCATGGGACCTCGTTGGAGCCTTCGCAAAGCGCGGGCTCGATCGTAAAGGCCATGCCCGGCAGCATCTCGCCACGCTCCGTGTTGGGGTAGTGCAAAATGAAGGGCAGCGTGTGGAACTGCTGGCCAATGCCGTGGCCGCAAAACTCGTGCACGACCGAGAACCCCTCGGCCTTGCTCAGGTTGTGGATGTGGGCGCCAATGGCCGAGAAGGGCACGCCCGGCTTGCAGAGCTCGATCGCCTCGAGGAGCGCTTGCTGCGTCGTGGCGACGAGCTTCTTGCCGGCGTCGTCGACGGTGCCGACGAGGAACGTCGCCGACGTGTCGCCGTGGAAGCCGTTGAGGTACACGGAAATGTCGAGGTTGACGATATCGCCATCAAGGAGCGCGCGACTATGAGCCCCATTGAGTCGCGTCAAGGCAGCTCGGTAGAGGTATAGTGTACCTGTCGGGAATGCCATGCACGACGACCTCGTTCACAGACGTGCAGATGGACTTGGGAAAGTGACCATAGTTCATCGGCGAAGGGTACGCGTTGCGGCGGAGCACCTCTTCGTGCACTTGGCGATCGATCTCTTCGGTGGTCTGGCCGACCTCGACGAGGCTGCCAGCGTAGGCCAAGATGTCCTTGGCGAGTGCGCACGCGTCGCGGAGGCGCAGCTGCTGGTCCTTGTCCAGGATCGGGATGTAGCGCGTGAACGGTGGCATCTCGCCCGACGCGGCGTACGGCGGCCGCTGGATGTGCGCGGGGATGCTGCGCACCGGCGACACGACGCCCTTCTCGACGGCCGCGCGGGTCGCGAAGGCGCGGGCGTGGCGCTGAAGCTGGCGGAACATGGCAGATTGCAAACTGCGAGTTTTGACCAATCCCAAAAATCCACATCCAGAGCCCTCTCATTGGGTGCTTCGAGGCCCGTGGTGGCCTCTCGAACAACGCACGTGTGGTATTTTGACCAATCAAACGCAGTTGACTTTTGTCCAATCTCACGGCGCACAGGTAAACACTCTTGTCTGATTCGTGGAAAATGACCAATCAAAGGCGGGTGCGACGGGAAGATTGGGAATGGCGACCGCCCAGCGCCGACCAAATAGGATAAGTCGATAAGATTATGGAGATTTGGGCGATGGCTTCAACGCGTGCTTCCGGCGCCGAGGACGTCGCTGCGATGGGAGGAAGCGGCTAAGGCGCTTGAGCTTGTCGAGATGCCACACGTGCCACCTAGAGAAAGCAGGCGTCGTCGTGGCGAGGTTGTGGCGGCACTTCCTTATGTACCTTTTTCGAACCCGGCGAAATCGTGTCTGGTGCTGGCGCAAGAGCTCCTTGGGGGCACGTGGAGGCACGAGTTGATCTACGCAAGTCGAGATGAGACGTTCAGCGCCGCACGACGTCGTGCGAACTCCGTTGTCGGCGAGCACGCCGCCTGTCACCTTCTAGTCCGTCTGTGAGACGTCGTTGCAGCAACGTGGTAGCGCACACGTACCGCAGCCGCCCACGGCGGTGTGGCTGGCCGCACGATCTCGTGTTTGCTACTAGTACGCACAGACACGTCAGGAGGGCTGGCCGTTGGTCGTGACGCCTACAAGGTCATAGCCGACGCTTCGCACTTGTCCCAGTCGCCGACGTTCTATTGAGAGGCCGCATGAGACCACCCGTGCGCGACTTGGGACGTACCGCCGTTGCGTCAAGCGGCGTCGTCATCAGCGGATGACTAAAGTGCAGGAGCTGCTCGGCCACGACGAGCGCTTCGAGGTCCATATCTCGGAATGATTGAAATCTGGGTTGCGATCTTTTTCAAAAACTACCGAAGCAGCAATTAATTTCTCTTTAAAATTTATACTCGTCGACGCGTTTTTACTCGACCTGGAAGACGATCGACTGGAGCGCGGGCTTGCGGTTGTCGCCGACGTGCTCGATGGCGTAGTCGAACTTGACGTTCATGAGGCGCTGGTTGTCGTTGCGGCGCACGACAGCGATCGTGCCACGGATGACGTCGCCGGCGCAGACCTGCGTGGGCGGGCAGAGCGCAAAGGCCTGCTGGCCCCAGTGCGTCGGCTCGACGAACGGCGACGTCGTGAGCGTCACGGGCGTGTGCGCCGGGTTCTCCTTGGAGCCCTTGAAGTCGACGTCGAACCAGCCGCCAATCGCGCCAAAGCGCGTCGTGCTGCCGATCGTGAACGAAAACTCCGAGAAGACGGACGCAACGTCCTCGATCGTGCACTTGTTCAAGTCGAGCGACTTGATCGTGACTTCTTCGCCAATGACGTCGCTCGGGTTGAGCTCGAGCCACTGCGAGGTGTAGAGCGAGTAGAGCTCCTGCTCCTTGCGGAACGCGTTGCCGAGGCACGAGTAGTCGACGCCCCACTGCTCCTTGGTCTCCGAGACGAACATGGTCCAGTCGTCCATCGCGCTCGAGAACTCGCTGAAGCGCTTGAGCGCCGTCTGCTCGAGGCCCAAGGGCGCAATGTACATCTGAGCGTGCGACGGGTACAAGGCACCGCCCGGCTTGAGCCAGCGGTCGCGGGCGACGATGACCGAGTCGAACATGGACTCGCGGAGGAGGAAGTAGCCCATCCACTCCGAGATGATGATGTCGACCTGCTCCGGGAGCTGGATGTCTTCAACCTTGGACTGGATGACCGTGATGATGTGGTCCTGCTTGTTGGCAGCGATCACAGCGCGTGCTTGCACAGCCATGTCCGTGGCTTCGACGGCGTACACCTTGCGGGCGCCGGCCTGCGCGGCCCAGATCGACAAGATACCGCTGCCCGTGCCCACGTCGAGCACGACCTTGTCCTTGAACGAGTCGATGTTCTCGAAGATCGCTTCGCGGTACCGCTGCATGCGCAAGTGGTCCGTGAGCATCTGCTTCTGGTGGTAGATGAAGCCATAGGTGCAGAAGTAGTTGGCAAAGTCCGAGCTCTTCTCCCAAGCGGTCTTGGCTTCGGGCGTAAAGTCAGCGGGGGCGCTCATCGTCAAGAGGTTGGTTGGCTTGCGGCAAGCTTGGGGAATGACAAGATCACCAGTAAATGGCGATATTTACTTCTAGAGGTTTGACCCATCGAGTCTTCAAGGTTGTGGGCTTCAACCACGCAAGATCTATTCGCGGCATCTCACGCGTTAGAGAGTCTCATTCGGCATTCTCTGCCGAAAACAGTCGGTTAACCGGTATATATATGCCGAATTTCAAGTATAAATGGCAAGTGCCACAATTACGATCGCTCCCATGTCGAAGCGCAAGCGACCGGCCGAGGATGTGAGCCGCCTCGAGCACGAAGCCATGATGGCCGACTACACGACGTGGTCCTCGTCGGGCGCTGTGCTGGTGACCGAAGAAGAGGCGGCGCTGCGATCGCAGCACCAGTTCCTACGCGACGACGAGACCGACGCTGTCACCGGCGCCACCGACTGGCGCGTGCGCATGGCTGTGCGCTACTACCAGAAGCTCTATAAAGAGTATGCGCTCGGCGACTTCAGCCGATATACCGAAGGTAAGGTTGGCCTGCGCTGGCGAACAGAGGCCGAGGTTGTGCGCGGCAAGGGCCAGTTTATCTGCGGCAACAAGCGCTGCGACGCGACCGAGGAGCTCAAGAGCTACGAAGTGCTCTTCGCGTACGTCGAGCAAGGCGCCAAGAAGGAGTGTCTCGTCAAGCTCCGTGTATGCCCACCCTGTGCGGCCCAGCTCTTCTACAAGAAGGCGGCAAAGAAGGCCAAAAAAGCCAAGAAACACAAGGCCGAGCACGCGTCGCTCTGCTAATATCGGTATACTCTCGACGTCCATGCAAATAGCATCACACGCCTCGCTGGTTGTTGAATTGGAACGTCTGCTTCTTGGCAGTGCCGAGGAACTTCTTCTGCAGCGCTTGCATCTCTTCCACCTGTTGGCGCAACAGATAGTTTTCCTTCTTGAGGTCGATGTGCGCGGCAAAGGTGGTTGTCGAGCTCAGTCGGCTCTGGTACTGCGCGAGCTCCGCCTGCAGCGACTCGACGTGGTCGCGCAGCTGCTGATTGTCGCCTATCAGAACGTAGTAGGACGGAGCATTTGAGACACAGCGTGTACGCAGGAGCTGCTTGTTGCGCGCTAACGTGGGCCGCATTGCACTGTCCAGCGCCTCTTGGCTGATCGCCGGTGTAACCTCAACCTTGATGCTTTGGGTTTGGTCGACTTTCGGCGACTCCCGGAGCTGGTTGATCTCGGCTCGCGCCTCGTGCAGCTCCTGCACGACGCGATCCATCTGTGCAGCGTGTCACTAGCGTGCACTGTAGCGTTGCGCCATCGCACCTGGCGCTCTTTTTCCTCAAGGGTACGGTACAGCGCCGCATGCTCGTTCTCAAATGCCAGCTTTTGCGCTCTAAGGGCTTCAATCTGCTCTAGAAATGTCTACTTGCATGTGAATTAAGGTGCAATGCAGCAGGATCTAGTACGCACCCCTTCCCTCTTCGTCAGCTTCTCGATCGTGTCGGCCATGCGGAGGCACTCGCCCTCGGCATGGGCGTGGGCATCCAGCGCCTTGGCAATCGTGTCCGCATCTTGGTTGCTGCGGGCGTCGGCCTTGGCGACATTGGCTGCCACCGCCGCTTGGAGCTCGTCGCGCTCGCGCGTGACGTCGGTGACGAGCCGCTGCGTGGCACTGAGATTGAACTCGAGGTTGTAGTTGGCGGCCTCGAGCTCGTGCACGCGGGCCTCGAGGGTCGCGACCTTGGTGGTGCTATCGGTCGCCACCGCCTACGATAGGAGACTGGAACAGGCGCGCAGCAGAGCTTGAATATATGCTACGGGCGAGCGTTGGAGGCGCTCAATCTCGTTTTCAAGCTCCAAGACGCGCTTGGAGAGGTCGACCCCCTGCCCCATCGAGAGAGGGAATGCCTGGACGTGGTACGATGATGCTAGCGCGGTGAAGCTGTACCATACCTTTTGCGACAACGTCTTCTTCATCTCGGCGTTCTCATCCAGCGTCTTCTGCAGCAGCTCCAGCGTCCGAACATGCTTGGAGCGCAACTGCTCGGTGGTTCGGTCCATGGCGGCAATGACAATGCACTAGTTGCACGCAACTTTTACACGCCGACCAGGCGTGCAGGGCAATGTACCCTACAAAAGACGTTTATTTGCCTCGGTGTATGCACCTACGCATACTTCAACGGTGCTGGAGTCGCCAATGTCCGCAAGCCCTGCGCTGGTGTCGAGGGCGCTCGGCGTAGCGTTGCGTGTGTCTAGCCTTGTCATGTGGCGGATCTATTTTTAGAAACCGCACCTGGACCTAGGTGGAAAGCGCACCTGTCTCTGTTTTTCGTCCAATCGATGCCTGGGAACCACGGCTTTCGTAACGTGTTTTGACCAATCAAAAACGGCGAGGCGCAGCCGAGGAAAGGACTGGTAACAAGACGAAGCGCGATGACCAAGTCCAAGAACCAGAAGAAGCAGCGCGACTCGTCCGTGCGCGGCTCGACCAAGATCTCCAAGAAGGCTGCCAAGGGCGGCGCCAAGAAGAACGCCGCCAAGGCCACGCAGGTGGTCGTCGCAGCCGCCAAGGGCGGCAAGAAGGCCGGCCTCTCGGCCATGCAGGAGCAGATGAAGCGCCGCTTGGAGGGCGGCAAGTTCCGCATGCTCAACGAGCAGCTCTACACGACGACGGGCGGCGAGGCCTTTGAAGAGTTCCAGGCCGAGCCCGAGCTCTTCGACACGGTGCGTCATTCTCGTGCGCATGTCGCTTGATCGACTTGTGCGCATTAGTACCACGAGGGCTTCCGGGAGATGGCCGAGAAGTGGCCGCTGAACCCGCTCGATACGTTCATCAACTACGTCAAGTATGGATATTGCATCCAGCTTGCATGCGAAGGCTCACTCGGACGTCGGCTAGGGCGCACCCGAAGGCGGTGGTCGCCGACTTTGGCTGCGGCGACGCGCGCCTCGCCGCGTCTGTGCCCAACACGGTGCACTCGTTCGACCTCGTCTCGCGCAACCCGGCGGTCACGGCCTGCAACATCGCCAACGTGCGAACCCTCGTGTTCTAACCAGAGTACTGATTTGCGGTGGTAGGTGCCGTTGCCAGACGAGTCGGTGGACGTTGCTGTCTACTGCTTGGCGCTCATGGGCACGACGCTGGTCGAGTACCTCTTGGAAGGTCGCCGTGTGCTCAAGCCCAACGGCGTCATGAAGGTACCAACATCTTGGTGGTATGGGATTCACGCAGCAGCGATAGATCGCCGAGGTCAAGAGCCGCATGGAGACGCCGTCGCTCGGGATTCCGGGCTTTGTCAAGAAGATGACGGACCTCGGCTTCGACCTCAAGCACAAGGACGAGTCCAACAAGATGTTTGTGACGTTTGAGTTTCTCAAGACGAAGCGGACGCCCAAGGCCAACGTCCAGATCGAGATGAAGGCGTGCGAGTACAAGCGCCGGTAGATAAGACATAAGTATGAAGACGCTTGGTATTCCGCGCGCGCATGTCGTATGGACTAGATGCGCAGCTGGTACTGGCCCGCACGCGTGACGTAGCGAACCCACTTGGTCGTCTGGTACGAGCTCTTCTCAAACACCTTGAGGAAGCGCACGTGGAGGCCCGACGCCGTGAACATGGGCACTTGGAACTCGACCTGGATCGGGGGCCGCGACCACGACTTCTCCTTCGTACCCTTCATGATCTCGACCTCGGCGTCCAGCATGCGCTCCAGCGTGCCCTGGAACTTGCGGATCTTCCACACGATTGCATGGTGCTCGGGCGCGTGCTTGGCGCTAGAGTGGATTGTATCAATGTATCATCAATGCATCGACACACGTACGTTCCGATGGGCACGGTGATCTTGCAGCGCGCCGTGTTTTGCGGCACGGGGATCTTGATGACGAGGTTCGTCGCAAAGAGGCGCGCGCTAAACGTCGCTGCAATCTACAGAACTGTGAGTCCTCCGTAGACGCCTCTTGGATGACGCGCCTTGAGCGAGACGGCCATGCGCGTCGACGAGCCTTCTTGGTACGCCGGCATGATCTTGAAGGGCAAGTTGATGTTCTCCGTGACACGGTACCTAGACGACCTTAGACTAGCCCTCTCCAGAAGAAGCGTACTTCATGAGCTCAAACTCGCCGTCCGGCGGCACAAACGTGATCGTGCGGTCAGCGTCAAACTTGCCAAGGCGCACGCAGCGGTGGAACGTGCAGTCATCAATCTACACGCGAGTTAAGCGATTCCCTTACGAATGAGGAAGCGGCCGACCTCGACTTCCTTCTGGGCGCGCTTTTGGCCCGCGGCCTTTGGCGCCGCGTCGCCCTTTTGCATCGTGAGCTTGTCGTTGAGGCCGAGCTAGCGGAAATCTCAGCGTCCAGGAGAGTATATCGAACGCACCTTGCACTCTGGCATGCCTGTGAGCATCGTCTTCATAACGACTTGGCCGACGACTTCGTTGCGAAGCACGGCGCCTAAACACGTACTATAAGATGGCGCAGCGATGGCTTGACAGATGGACCGTTCGAGGACATGAGGAGGTTGACGCTCTCAAAGACATCCAAGTACACTTCGTTGCGCTTGTACTTGATGCCCTCACGACGCCTACGTAGCTCAACGATGCGTCGTGTTTGCAGCATATTGCATGACGCACCAGTCGATGGCACCGGTGATTTGCGACGTCAACTGGCCGGGCTGCGCCGTCGACGTGGCGGCGTCCGCCTACGCTCTTAAGATGAGCGGCGAAATGAGGTCGACTAGGACGCACCGACATGGAGCCGAGGTTGATGTACATCTTGAGCACGTCCGACGAGCAGTTTTGCGGGTATCCATAGTCCATCGTCTCTACCATGGGTTTGTTGACGTCGGCAATGTAGTGACATGGCCTCGTCGTACCGTCGAGGAGCTCGTACACGAGCGTAAAGTTGTTGCGGATGCTTTCCTGCGCGATGCATGAGGCGGGGCGAGCCTCGCATGTATCGTTACCTCGTTGTACTTTTTGCCCATGTAGTCTTGGAAGATGCCATTGAGGTTGGTGAGGAACTGGAACACGAGCGCTACACCGCATGATATGACGCCATGTTGCCGCACGGTTCGCACCGATGTTGATGTTGGCCCGGGAGACCGCGACGAGGTACAGATTCTCGTGGCGCGTGTAGAGGAACGAGCAGCCGTCGATCGACTTGATGGGCGGGAGCGACCCGGTCTCCTTGGCGGCGATGACCTGGAGGCGGAAGGCGTCGGCCGCCCGGCGGCTCACGTCGTCGCGGTAGAGTCGGTTGAGCACGACTTCGCCCTTCTGCGAGATGAGGAAGAGCCCGCTGATCATAGGGGCGTCGTCGTCGTCGCTGGAAATCCACAAATGGCCTCGAAAACCGATGCGCCGAAACGACCGCCAAATTGCACTTGCACGTTGTATACCGCAAGATCGCGTCCGGATACCAAACGGCAGACCTCCGTGATATCCGGATGTCTTGCGATCTTCCTGATACATTGATACGAGATCACCATGCTAGATCACCGTGGGCAAACGACATGTTAAGGGTCGTTGCCGAGGAGCTACCAGATCTTAGCGACGTGGCTTTGAAGTAGCGACTGACCGTGCACTGGCCTACATCGAACGTGCTTGGCCTAAATCGAGGCTGAGCGAGAGCTGCGCTAGGACTATGATGGCACTATCCTTTTCCCCAATCTACTCGAGGCGAGTTCGAGTGCCCACGCTCACCGAGTGAGCTTTTGCGTGTTTGAAATGGTATATACGAACATAAGAAATGACGAGAGAAGGTGTCGTCTTCGGGTATCGCTCGGCTGAGCACCTTGGTTGAGGTGTTGTATATGCCATCTACCCGCGCTCGTGCCGACGCGGACAGTGTCTTCACGACGTAAGCTGTTGGGTACGAAGTGCGCAAACAACACTTTTTGATTCGTCAAGATGCAAGCAGGAGCGAGGTCAGAGCTTCATGGGGATAGCCTGCGCCAAGTACGGGAAGGGCCTCGCTCCGTCCCGCGCGTCCGAGACATCGATCGCGTACTGCCGCCACGTCTTGATGTCGAGGATGTACATGGTGCGTCGCCACTCGAACGAGAGGAGACCGGTGAGGACGGCGGAGGCGCGGTCAACGTAGTAGACACCGTCGACGATCCAGCCGTCCGTCGCGTAGTGGTACTTGGCCGTCGCGTAGAGCAGGTGCGAGTGCGCCGGCGCCGAAGCTGCGCGGGGTCGCAGCCATCGCTCGAGGAGGTACACGAGAACGACGGTGGCGGTCGTGCCGCCGACGATGCCCGCAAAGCGCCGCATGCGGCCGATCGCGACGACGCCGCTGCGACACTCGACCTGAAAGTCGACGGCCGAGACGTCACACGCGCGAGCGAGCGTGACGAGTGGTCGCACGGGAAGCAGAAACGTCCCAATCGCGAGGCCGGCCCAGACACCGAGGCTGGCCTCCATGCCATAGCGCGCCGTGTGCTGCTTGGTAACGAGCGAGAAGGCGTCGTTGAGGATGAAGACGAGCCACGTGATCTCTCCGGACGCCATGATGGTCGTGTACCACGCCGGCGTTGACGGCGCAAACGCGTAAAAGCCCACGACTTGGGTGAGGTCGAGCGTTGCGGTCGAGAGGAGGCAGATGGCGGTGGTGCCGCGCAGCAGCAGCAGCGGTCGTCCGATCCAGACGAGGCCGGCGACGCGGTTGATACAAAACATGTTGAGTCCCTCGATGGCCCCGCGGGCGCGCAAGGCGTAGACAACGACGAGCATCGCGACGGTGGCGAGGATAAAGGTGATGAAGAGGAGGAGACGCCGGCAGTAGTGCGAGACGTTGACTGGGACTTCCATGCCGTTCACGGCTTGCGTCGAGATGGTGTTGCGGCCAGAGAGAATTGTGAGTGCTTCGCCGGTATCGCCAACGAACGACACGACCTCGCGCACGCCGTGCACCCACTCGAAGAGGAAGAGCCAGCTATGAAAGGCAAACGAAGCCGACGACAAGAGGCTTTCTTGCAACAGCACCGTTCGGTTGGTGCGCCTGTCGCGAAGAAATTGCACGAGCTGCACTTGGCCCGCGAGCTGCGCTTGGATCCGAGCTGCGGGCGACTGCACGGCGGCGACAAGCGTCGTTGGCACCGAGCTGCGGACAAACGAGAGGCGCGCCGCGTAGCTGTCGGGGCAGGACGCGACGTTGACGGTCTCGGCGGCGCAGATGGCGGCTGGCGTCGGAAAGTCTGCCGCGAGCAGCGCCAGCACCACCATCGAGCTCGATGCGACGACCGAGTTGGAGACGCCAAGCGTGCACGCGCCCGCGGCCGTAAAGAACTCGAGGAGGTTGAGCGTGGCGGGGGATGGCATTGTCGGGCACGTGACGTCGCCGCCGACATACTCTGCACCGACCCACTTTAAGGGTATCGGACTGCCTTGGAGGCCGGCAGCGATCTCCCGGTACGCTGTAGCCGTCGCAACATCGGCGACGAAATGTGCCATGAGGGCTTCGGTCGAGGCCTTGTACCACGCGAGGAGCTCGCGGGGCGGCGCGACCCGCTGCATCGTGATGGTGCCAAAGGGCCCAAGGCGATCGCGGAGGAGGGAGAATCCCGGGTCCATTGGCGCTGGCAGTGTCCCGTTGGCGATGAGAAGCGCTTCGGGGGTCGTGTTGCGGTACAGGAACTGAGGACTCTGTCGAACCAACGAGCTCCCGACGGTGTGAGATGCATTGCTAGAGATGATGTAGAGGTCATTGGCGAGCGTCCAGTGCATCTTGAAGCTCGACTGCACCGACGTGTGGAGAGTGCCGTTGGAGCGCTTGAGCGTCAGCGGGTACTGCATCCCGAGCGCGTTCTCGATCGCAATCGTTTCGATCACGCCCAGCGTCTTGTAGTTTTGCCACTCGGTCGCAAAGACGGCGATGCCCATGCGCCGCCAGTAGGCCTCTTCCATCGCCAGCGACAACTTGTTGTCGGCCCGCACTTCTCGGACCCACGCTTGCCCGCGGGTTGTCGAGGCCAGGTACGAGAAGACTCCCGTCTCGAGGCTCGAGCCATAGCAATGCTGCCAGCGCGTCCAGTCGAGAACGTTGCGCAGAACCGACTCGAGGTACACGGCGCCGTTCGCAGTATGCCGCGCGCACGCGTCTTGGCGCGCTGCAGTCGCACCGAGCTCGTACGCCCTGTTGAAGTCCACGTAGCAGTAGCTCGTCGAGATGTACGCGATGAGGCACGGGTTCATGCGGCGAAGACCGGCAATGACACCCGCGAGCGAGTTGACGTGGCTCTGAAGCGACGAGGCGTAGACCACGAGCGGCGCCGACGCGAGCGGCGACGTCGCATTGTAGCTGTGCGCGTTGTCGCTAAACTGCGGCGCCGCCAGCTCGACGGCGTCCAATGCACCGGTGAACTGCAGCTGCCGGTTGAACCAGTTGGTCAAGTACGTCTGGTGGCCCGTCGCGTTGAAGGAGGCCCACCAAAAGTCGTTGGTCATCGCAGTCTCCGAGACATAAATGTACGTGTAGCTGCCAATAATCGAAAACACCACGTAGGCAAAGCCTCCGAGCGCCCGGACGTAGAAGCGGCGCATCGACAGCAGCGGCACCGACAACGACGCGAAGGGTAGGATCGGCCCATACGTCGCGCGTAGTGTGTCGAAGCGCAGGACGCACCAGAGCTTGAGGTCGAGGCGCACGCCGCCGCCACAGGGTACGAGCCCCGACAAGACGCTTGTGACGACGTCGTCGTGCCACAACTCCGAGTGCACTTTGCTCAAAAACACCTCGGCGGCCGCGGGCACGAGCACATGCGGCCGCCACGCGCGGTGCACGCGTGCCGTCGGCCCGGTGCAGAGGCGCTGGACGGCCATCGCCGCCGGGATGCAGCCCATATTGATGCCGAGGAGAGCGAGTAGGCGCGGAAGAGACCCGATCGCGACACTGCCAATGGCGCACGTGACCTGCAGCCCGAGCCGGTTTTGCGTGCAGTCGGGTGCGACAACGACGCTGGCTTCGAACGGCGAAATCGCCTCCCATAGCACCATGCACGTCCACGCCAAGAAGGCGCTGAGAGGGCCGTACGACCGAACGTGACCGAAAGTTCGCAGCAGTGGCAAGCCGAAGTCGACCACGACGTATGTCATCCACGTCGCCTCGCTCGCAATGATCATCGTGCTTACGAGCGAGCGCGGCGCGTCTTGAAAGCCCGACTCGTTGCCGGGTAGGGACGCGTCGTCGACGAAGCGGACGCTGCTGGTGCTCAAAAGCACCAGCGCCGTGAGTCCTCGCACGAGGAGGAAGGGTCGACCGACCCAGACGCAGCCTATGAGGCGGTTGGCATGCAAGAGGTCCAAGGGCGAGACTTGCTTGCGCTGCGTCCAGCCAAACGTGAGCACGAGGACGCTCACAGCGGCGACGACCAAAGACGCGTACAGCGTGAGGTACCACATGTAGACGCACGCTTGTTGGGGCAGCTCCAGCGCGTTGGCCTCGAGCGGGGCCGTCGCGTAGCGCCGCGTGATGGTGGTGATCGCGCCGACGTCGCCCGACACGACGTACACCTCGCGGCGGCCGTAGAGCCATTCGTAGAGCATCACGAGCCCGAAGAAGCCCCACGGACTAGCATCGGCGAGCGCTTGGTGCAGCAGGATCGGGTCGGTGCCGTTGGCGGCAAACTGGTAGACGCTCACGTGCGTTGCTTTCAGCGCTTCCCAGACCGCACTGGTGCCGCTTGCGATGGGTAGCTGAGCAGCCGCTGCGACCGCCGGCTCAAGCACGCGGGCGCACGTGCTCGGTGACCCGCAGAGCGCGGCGATGGCGGCAGGTGACATGGCAGGCAGCAGAGAAAGGGCGAAGAGGACGCTGCGGCTCTCGAGCGAAACGCTAAGTGGCGCGGCACCGTCGCACGTGTCGTAAAACCCCATGGGCTCCTGCGGCAGTGCGTGCGCGGGTGCGGAGAAGCACATGGGACTGCCGGTATAGTAGATGTAGCCTCCGGTCCAGCTTGGCGGCACGGGATAGACTCTCGTCGTCTCGACCAAGGCGCGGAAGACCGCCGTGTCCTTGATGGTATTGAGGCGCGCCTCGTAGGCGGCGAGGTACGCCAGCAGCGCGCGAGGCTTGGGCAGCACGAAGACGTCCATCGAGGCGAGCGGCCCCAGCGCCAAATGCACAACGCGCAGGACCGGCGTCAAGGTCGCGACAGAGTTCATGTTGTACTCCCAGTTGGCTTTGATAGCATCCGAGGCGGCGTCGACACCCAAAAGCAGCGTGCACTGGAGGCTGTCGCCTGTCCAGAGGTCGTTCCAGAACCCGGCGTAGGCGTACACCGTCGACCAGAGCGCGAGGCCGCGGAATTGGCTCGGGACCGCGTACACGGTGACGCGCTGCGTCATGCCAAGCGCGTTCTGGATCGAGATCGTCTGCACGAGCCCCTGCTCGTAGTAGTTGGTGACCTGCGACTGCCACGTCGTGAGCCCAAACTGCCGCCACGTCGCGGCTTCGTCCTCGACGGCCAAGTCTTCTCGGCGGTGAAAGATGTCGGAAATGACTTTGCTCCCGCCCGGCAGCGCGGCCAGCGGATCGAAGATCGTTGCGTTCATCGGCAGCATGTACGGACTCGCGTTCAGGTCGTTCGCATCCGTGTTGCGCAAGAGCGCCTCCAAGTACACGGCGGCGTTCGCGGTGTACTGCGCGTCGCACTTGGCTTGCCGCCGCGCGTTGAGTGCCATGGAAAAGACCGGCGCAGGTCCACGTAACAGTACTGCGTAAAGAGGCGGATGTTGCTATCGAGGTTGTTGGCTCGCAGCGCCACGATCACAGTGGCGAGTGGGAGCGGTGCCAGTAGGAGCGACCGCGGCCGCGCTCGGCTCATCTGGATAAAGGTCGGATGCGACGTGTACGCCTTTGGCACTCGGAGGCTTGCAAGCGGCAGCTGCGAGCTCGCGTTGGTGCTGATGCTGATTTGTCTGTTGAAGTAGTCGCCGAGGAAGGTCTGGACGCCGCCGACGCTGAAGCCGGGCCACCAGTAGTCGTTGATCATCGCCGGTGTCACGAGAGCCACATACCACACACTGAGGCCGACGGTGAGAACGAGGTACGCAAAGGCGGCGAGCACGGCCTTGGAGATGCTGGGCGCCATCGCTTCGATCTATATTCGATGACGTGAGCGTCCAAGTTGCACTCAACGGACGATTCAAAGCGTCGGTTTCAAGCTCGAATGGGCGCCGCCGAGTCGTTTGGCGCGCGAACCAAGCTCCGGTCGTTTAGGATGCGGAGACATCGCCCTTACACATAAGTGTAGAGACACGCTGCTCCTGCGTCTCCACCTCGCGACGACCAAGCGCACCGAGCCGCTCGAGACGCACCTCCTCCATCGATACTTTGAACCGCACGACCCGGTACATAGCGGTGTATTGCCAGGTTCCTGGACTTCATTTCTGGACGCAGACGCGCCGAGGGTATGTGCCCATGGACGTCGCGCGCAGCGTGGCGTTCCAAATCGCCAAGACCTCGTCCCCCGCCCTCGAGGCGATGTTCGACGTGGACCAGTGCGTCCATATGCGTGCTGCGTCCACTGATCCCATGGGGATAGCAATGGATTCTTCCACTACAACGCATTTCTCTCGTTCGTGTGCCGCGACAAGCTGCACGTGGAGATGGACAAGCCCATCGGCATCGTTGGCGTCTATACGGTACGCCGCGATCGCACGTGTGTCGTCGTCGGCAGTTGGTGTAGGTCTCCAAAGGCCTCTGCGCTTTGAACGGCGCCGCCGTCACGGTCAAGCGCACGCAGCTGCAGTCGATCGAGATGGTTTGCCCAACGTGTGCGATGCGTACTAGTACTACTTGTCCGGTGCAGGTCGAGACCCTCTGCGACGCGATTGGCATTTTGGCCACCTTCTCGCACCCACGACTGCTCCAGTACATCCACAGCACGTGCTATGAGCAGACGTTCGTACTGTACCAAGCATGGACCGAAGCCACGTCGCTCAAGGCACGTCGACTCTAGCGCCTCTGCGATGCCGACTGTTTCGCCGTAGACCATTCTCTCGTCGTTTGGGCGCATGAGCGAGCCGACGATACGGCGCTACTTATCGCAGGTCATCGAGGCCATGGTCTATTTACACCGTGTCGGTATCGTGCACCGGTGTGAACTCTGCTCGTCGCGTTGGCGAGGCTTGTGAGCCGTCACCTAGGGACCTTCACGGTATGACGACGCGCGATCGACAGCAAGAGCGTTGTGTGAGCGTCGGTCATAGGCGAATCCATCTACATTGATCGCGATGGCAGCGTCCAAGTGGGGGTAACAACTGTACTCTTTGGTTCAAAGCGGTGGCATGCAAATGCCATAGGAATTTTACGCAGGGTGGCACTTGCGCACGGCCAGCGCCAACCTCCACAGCTTTCAAGACAGCCTCTACGATGTCTTTCGGGTTCAAACGCAGGTCGAATCGACTGGCTTCTTGATCCATGCCCATGGTAGCCGCCAGAGACCCGCGCCGACGCTCGGTCGTTCGGCACCAAGGCCGACGTCTGGTGCATCGGCCTCGTCGCCCTCGAGGTAGTGCGATGTCATCTGAGAGATTTGTACTAGTATGGAGGCGCTTCTTGCGTCTAGATGCTCTACGGCACGGCGCACCTCAACCGCGTCAACGCTGCCAACAGCGTGCGTCATCGATGGACACTATCCCTGGCTCATTCAATTGATGTGGTATGGGCTAGTCGCAGCCGCCGATTCCTCACCGCATCTCCCCCATGTTGCGCAAGTTCCTCGACGCATGTTTCGAGGCGCGTACTTCCTCCAATACCGAAGAGTCACACAGCTGGGCGTAGATGACTTCGCGGGAACGGCCCCGCGCGGACGAATTGCTAGCGTTCGCTTTTTTTCACATGGCCCCGGACCAAGACGCCGAATTCTTTGGCGCCACCAGCTCACTCGACATCACGATGAAGCGGCTTCAGGAGACAGCGCCGGAGCAATCACCTTTTACATTACATTAAATTGAGAGCTCTCCGATGGGTACGAGAAGATGTACCTTGTAGTGGAGCAGCTTGTGCACACCACTAGGGGTACATGTAATAGGTACCCTTGAGCACCACTGCGTTATCGTGAGAGGCAGCGCGGTCGCAGTTGCGTCTTTTTAGACGCCCAATCCCCACGCGACTCTATAATAACCGTCTTTGAATGGTCAATAGCGAGCCAATCCGCGATGCGTACGCGCAACCCATGTGCTGGCACCACCACCTGCCAGTTCCTGCCGAAAGATCCGGCGTTGCCGTCTTGGTCTCTGCGACGCCTCATTTCGTCTTTCGCCATGTCTGAGAAGACGCCTCCGCTCGACGCCGACGCGCGACTCTCGTACATTAGCTCGGCGCGCATCTTGGCCTCGCAGAAGTTCACGCCCCAAGCGGCTTACCAGGCCGAGGAAGGCACGCTCGCCGAGGGCGGCGCGATCTCGCTTTGCTCGCGCGAGGCCTTGGGTCTCTTTTCCCAGTACGCAGCGATCGGTACCATCTACGGCACGATCCCGACGCTCGCGTACCCAATCTTCAACAACTACCTCAAGATGGAAGGGTACCAAGTCGCGTCGTACAACGTGCTCGTCACGCTTGGCTGGTCGTTCAAGGTCTTTTGGGGCATGTGCACCGACTGCTTTCCCATCTTTGGCTACCGACGCAAGAGCTGGATGCTCCTTGGTTGGCTCGTCGCCATGACATCGCTGCTCATCATGGCGGTCATGCCCCTCGGTGACCCCTACTGCTTTGGCAACCCGCAGGTGTGCGCCCGCGCGTACGCCAATGCGTCGATTCCCGACCGCGTCTACTTTAACATTGACGCGCCGTCCAACGGCGCCAAGTTCATCATCCTCTCGATGGTCACGAGCATCGGGTATGTCATGGCGGCGTGCGCGTCGGATGCGATGGTCGTGCAATATGCGCAGCGCGAGCCCGTCGCGATCCGGGGCGGATTCAAACGGCGATCTACGTCGTGCGCACGGTCGCCGGTATCTTTACGTCGCTCGTCACAGCATTTGGACTCAACGGAAAGGAGTACGATGGCAGCTTTGACTTTTCCATGGGCCCCAACGTCATCTACGGCATCCTCCTCGGACCGTGCGTGCTCGTGTGCCTCACAACAATCTTTGTCGTCCAAGAAGACCCGGCGCCGCGCGTCGAGTTCAAGTTCTGGGTGTCGTCGTTCTGGGAGCTCCTCCAGAAGCGCGTCATGTGGCAGATCTGTGCCTTCCGCTTCATCAACACGACCTTTCTTAGCATCGGCGTGACCGCGACGCCGACCATTCAGCGGGCGTGGGCCAAGGTTCAGCCGCTCAACGACTCGCTCTCGACGATTCTGGGCCAGCTTCTCTTTGCTGGCATCCTCGTGGTCGTCGGCAAGTGGGGCCTCGACTGGAACTGGCGCCATACCATCGCCCTCGGCACGATCGCCATCGTTGTCATCGACGCCACCGTCGTCATGCTCACGATCTGGGACGTCTTCCGCAACGAGTGGTTCTTCACGGGCGTCGCCCTCTCCGAGCAGATCCCTGGTGGCATTCGATTCATTGTCTCGACCTACTGCGCGGTCGAGATCGCCGATGTCGGCAACGAAGGCGCGACCTACGGCCTCGTGACGACGGTCTCCAACCTCGCAACACCCTTTGCGAGTCTCATTTACAAGCTCATCAACTCGTACTTCGTCGTCGACAATGTTGCGGTCGCACGCGACGACACGGCCGTGCGCTGGGCCGTCACGTACTGCTACCTCATCTCGTACGCGTTCAAGCTCGCGGCGCTTGGCTGGCTCTTCCTCCTGCCTCCGCAGAAAGCCGAGATGCAGGCCCTCAAGCGGCTCGGCGGCAAGAGCAAGGCGGCCGGAGCGACGCTTGTTGTTGTGTTTGCGCTCGCATTGGTGTTTTCCGTGACGACGAACCTGCTCTCGATCTTCCCGTCGACCAAGTGTCTCCGCATTGCCGGCGGGAAAGGCTGCTAGGACGAGGCTATTTCTTCCTTACTGTTTGTTATAAACACGTCAACTACAAGCGTCCTTGGGCCATGAACGGGTAGACATAGCCGCAGTCGCGCGTGACGCCGAGGTTGCCTTGCCCGTCGCTGCTTGCCGCGTCCTGGACGCAGATGCAGCGACCGGTCGCGCCATCTACGCTTGCCATCAACATCTCGCGTTTCGACGGAATGCCAAGTGCACCGCAGTTGCCGCGGTTGTTGCAAACCGCGTCCTCGGTCGTGCCGGCGGTGGTTTCGGTGACCGAGAAGGGCCCGCCCGTCAAGAGCGAAGCATCCGCGATCAAGAGCGGTACGTTGCCCGCGTTGGTCAAGAAGGACACCGTCGTGACCGCTAAAACAGCTTGTGCACGTCGTCCTTTCATCTGGGGTCGCACCTGCGCTCGTGGCACCGCAGAGTGCTCCCGTTGGCATGCTCACCGCTACCTGCCCAATGCTACCCCAATATAGTATGCACAAGCTGTAGCCAGTGGTATCGCGCAAGTACGTCGGTAGCGCTTCAAGCGCTGCGGTCAGCGCCGCCGCCGTCGCACCGAACGAAAGCGCCGACGTCGTTGCACCGCGAAACGTCAGCGTCACGGAGCCAGCGGTCCCGAGACAGGACAGCGATTGCACTTCGTTGACTTGACCGGTGGTCCACGGGTCGTCGCCTGACGGACACGGATCTACAAGCAGCGTGCAGCGATTCGGTCGGTGTGGACGGCAGCGTACAGGACGAGCAGTCGTAGCCCGAGAGGGTTGGTGCATTCCCGATCACGTAGCGCACCTATTTGTCCTTTTTCAGAAAAGTGCCATAGAATTTGGGAAAGCGAACACTGTTGCAGACGCAGCCAAAGATGCGATCGGCGTCCCACGTGGCGAGGGAGTTGACGTCGCGGCCGTACACGATCGGCGTCGGCGCGCCGTCGGTCGTGGCGCCGGCGGCCATCTGGCGCATGGACCTGCAGTTGCCCGTCCCGCGACACCTGGAGGCGCACGTCACTAGGATATTCTGCGTCAAGCACATTGGTGCCGCCAAGGATGCGTGGTACACTTCTCGCACGCGGCGCCGACAAAGTTGCTGTCGCAGAGGCACCGCCCCAGGGTGTTGTCGCAGATCCCCTGACAACCCTCCGTCACATGCAGTCGGTGGTAACGTTAAGGCACGTACGGCATTGGCGCACGCGACGGGGACGGTGCGCGCCGTCGTGGCCAGCGTCGCAGCTTCGAACCACGCGGTGGCCGTTGGACACAACCCTAGCCCAAGCACACGAGTCGGGCGAATGCGAAGCATTGGCTTACGCAGCGAGCAGTCGTTGCCGCCCCAGTCTTGATAGCACTGGCACTGGTAGTCGGGCGCGTTGGAGCACATGCCGTGGCCGCTGCAGACGACCGTGCTTCCGGTCGCGAGGTAGTCCGACTCGTAGATCCCAGCTATTACGTTAAGTCACGAATCCACTGCGTTGCTGCACCGTTGCATCGTACCGGGGCAGCGATGCGTCGCAGGGGCACCCGTCGTGTTGTAGTAGCCGCAGTCGGGTCGTGGTCCCAAGCTCCCTTGACCTAATCACGTCGGATTTCGAGGTGCACCGATACAGGCTAGCTTTGTAGACCGTCGCTGCTTGTAAAGTAAAGGGCGCAGTTGCACTGCCCCGTCGCTTGGTTGCACACACCGCGCCCCGAGCACTCGAGCGACTAGAGAAGCCAGCCACAATCCATTTTCGAATCTGAATCGTCATGCTGCACCTGCTTTGTATTGGCGACGGTGGCCACCGAGGTCCCGTAGAGCGCTACAGTGCCTCCTACTTTCGAGATGACCCACTGGGTTAAGTGTCGTCGCCCGTACCTGCTTGCACCGAGACGGTCAACGTCGCGGCAGCCAAGACCAATGTCAGCGATGGCAGTGGGCCAAAGTCGTGCAGAAAAGTGACGAGCGCCGACGTCCCCAGCGTCGAGCAGATAGTCGTGGCGCCGCCGTCAAACACAACCGAGACACCTGACGTGATCGCGCTGAGCGCTGCCTCGACGTCGGCCGCCGACGCCGTCGCGGCCAGTGGCACCGAGCTCCGGCCGTTCCACGTGAGCATGAACGTGCCGGTGCAGGTCGTGCAGTGGCACGAGATGGCTTGCCGTTCGTTGAGCCGCCCCGTGACGACCGGGTCGTGGCCGGAGATGCAGGTGCGGAGGCTGCAGTCGTAGCCCGTGTAGCCGGGATCGCAGCGGCAGCCTACGCCTTCGTTGCACCCATGCGTATTCCTTGACCGCTTACTACCATAAATGCTGTTGGCATCCCAGAGCGTGTACGAGGCACCGTTGAGCAGCGCGGCGTCGGCCATGCTGAAGCAGTTGCCGTGGCCGCTGCAGTCGTTGGCGCAGTCGAGCTTTTCGCACGCTGCACCGGAAAAGCCATCACGGCAGACGCACGCGCCGGTCGTGCGGTTGCACGCACCCTGCGCTGTCTGCATGAGGTCACCGTTTATAGCGACTGTACGGACCATGTTGCTGCACTCGGTGGCCGTCATCCGCGCCGTATCGAGGGCCGTGGCCACCGCGGACCACGGCGTGCCGTACGGGCACGTCCGGAGACCGCAGTCGACACCCGTCCAGCTGGCAAAGCACGTGCACCTACAGAAGCGTTGGCTCGAGCCTTGGACGAGTTATGCTGGTACCGGTTGAAGGCGCCGCAGACGCCGTGGCCATTGCAGTTGCGGCCTAGCACGTTAACGCGATCGATACGTTGCCATATATGCCTGGTATAGTACCGTAGTAGCCCGGGCAGGCACCGCACACGAGACGTGCGAGGACCAGCAGCACGACCACCGCCGTCGCCATCGTTTTCGTAACCGCTCTGTCTCGATTCCACCGCGCAATTTTGTCTCCTTTCATACAAGTCCTCGTCGAAATCGCTGCCTTGCAGACGACTTTTACGACTGCGTCTGAGCAGTGTGCATGGGGCTGGATAAGACGCAGGTATATCTTATCGGCCAGCGCTCGATGTGCGTGGCATCGCTGCAATTGGAGACGACCAAAAGCATACTACCATACAATTCTTGTTTTCTGTAGCTCATACACATTCGCCCGACTAGCCCACGCAGCTTTACTGACCACATATCGTGGCTGTGCTGGGTAGCGGCAACCAATCTTCTCGACGCCTCCTCCGTCGCGCCACCCACGTACTCGCCGACACCTGCTACTCGATGTAGAATGTGGACGACGTGTACAATGAATGCATCATGCCTTAAGCTACTAGAGGCGTACTACGCCTTTTGTGTCCATAGCGCGAAGAGCTGGCGACTGGAACGCTGGCAACTTTCCCTTACATTTCTTGGCCTTTCTCGGGCGATTGAGCGCGCAGTTGCTCAGCGTAGGCCTCAAGCTGGCGCATAAAACTAGAACGTTTCAATACACGCTCTGCACGGTGGGAGAAGGGAGCGATACCCTTGGTTGGGTTGCGCTTGTGGGCGCAGCGAGCGCACGTGGGCTAGTGCATCGCCGAGGCTGTAGCCGTAGTGCGCCATGAGGTAAGCTGTTGCATCGAGTTACGCATATCGGGATGCTGCCATCGTACCGAGGATGAGTGTCACGGACCGCGACTTGCCCGCAAAACAGTGCACGAGGACATTGCCGCCACTCGTTGTCGTCCTACAGAGCGCCACGTGAGCTGTCGACGCCGGCACTCGGCTACTAGCACCGCTCGATGAAGGCATTGCTGGCCGCAAAGTGCGCCTCAATGCTCGCGCTCGGGACATCGGCGATGGCAACGCGCTCGTACACAAAGCCCTCGGGCTTGTCTTCGAACGGAAACACGATGGTCTCGGACGCGACGAGGATGTGCGTGATGCGCTAGTGCGTCAACTGAGCGACCATGCGCCATCGTAGACAGGGCGTACCAGTCGCACTAGAGCCTCGTAGTTGGCGCCGGCTCCGATCGAACCAAGGTACAGGTGCGGTAGGATCTCGACCTACACTGATGAGGATCCTGGTGGTCCGGCAAAGGTGCTGCGAGCATGTAATAGTACCAGGTCTCTGTCCGTGTCGACGTACTTTTGCAGGAGTAGGCCGTGCCAGAACTTGCGGAAAGCGTCTGCGCGTCTTAAGTGACCTTCTCCGCACGCTTAGCCGTAGCATGCATACCTTTAGCTGGCTTGGACGGTCCGGTCGGCGGTGGAGCGTTGCCGTCCATGCTGGGGCTACTAAATATGGTTTGCGCCACATTTGATTTCTGTCCGCGCCACATTTAATTCGTATTGGTGGCACTGTGCGACATGCACGCAGACAGCAACCCTAGCCTCAACAAGTGATGCAGCCTTTGAGCTTCGTTGTCGTCACCAAGACGGGCGACAACCAACAAGCAGGTGACCAGATAGCAAGGGACAATATTGTTCACGCAACTAACTATTATATTAAGGTTGGCCGAAGCACGTTTATAACTTAAATCCAGTGTCCGCGAGGGTGCCAAAGCGCTTTGGCCGCCCAGGGCCGGGCCGATCGCTCTGCTTGAAGTTCGGGTTGAGGTTTTGCCACGTGGTCTTGCAGTCGACGGGGCACCGGCCCGGAATCGCTTCCGAGATGCGTGTCCACTGGTTGCCCCACGTGTTGTAGAGCTCGGTGAGCTTTTGCTTCTCCTCAGCGTCGAACGGCCCGCGCTTGATGCTCGGGTTGAGGTAGTTGCGCCAGCGCTCTTGGCAGTGCTTGGCCGTGCGCCCCGGAACCCCCGCGGCGACGGACGCCCAGTTGAGCTTCCCGCCTTGCTGGCTTAGCGTCGCGATCTGCGCCTGGAGGAGGCAGTCTTCTTCGTGCGACCAGTTGCCGCGGCGGAGGCCCGGGAAGAGCACCTTGCGCCAGCGCTGGAGGCACTGCGCGTGGTTGCGACGGCCCACGTGCTTGGCGATGGCCTTCCAGTTGCGGGGACCGTACTTGTCGACGGCTTGCCGCAACAGGTCATCTTCGTCCTGCGTCCACTTGCCCGGGTTGACGTGCGTCACCGTCTTGTGGTCGTCCATCTTGTCATCGCGGCTGCTTGTACAGCTGCTGCTCGAGAGGGGTGAATGGGCAGCGTTGGGCGCAAAAAGTAGCCGCCCGTCGGATTCATCGATGACGACGACGGGTACACGGAGCACGATGGGGCGGCCTTGGACGGCTGGAAGCCGCGAAGCGACGGCAAGACAATGGATGTGGGCGGCGGCAGCACGGGCGTCATGGGCGGCGGCAGAAGCGGCGAGATGGTTTGCATCTGCTAAGGACAGGGCGATGAGTGCCATGGTTTAGAGACAGAAAACACGTACGCGAATGGACGGCAGCGGCGAGTAGTGGTTGCTGCTACCGTTGTTGGTGTTGTTGTGACTGTTGTTGCTGTTGTGACTGTTGGCGGGCTTGGTCACGATCGGGAAACTCCGGTCAACGTGGATGTGGAGCTTGGGCTTGACCACATCGACAGGCGCCGACATGCTGCGCAGCGGCTGCGGCGGCGACGACGTCCGGAGCGCCATGAGCGTCGGGATCACTTCCTTGTCGTTGGCCTCGACCTCGTCCCACGTGCGCTTGCGCCAGCGGGGCTTGAGGAAGCGCACGATGGTCTCGAGGCAGACGAGGTTGTCGTAGGCAAACGCGGTCGATGACGGCTTCTTGGACGACGTGTCGGTGCAGCAGAGCGGGATGTTGAGCGAGTTGAGGAGCGCGAGCGGCGGCGTCGAGAGCCACATGCGGCGAAGCATCTCGAACACCTTGGCGTCGCTAATGTACTCGGGAATGTCTTCGTCGAGGCGGTAGTTGGCGCACGAGAGGTCCGTCTTAGTGTTGATGTACATGAGGGGGGCCTTAGCCTGGCCAAGCACCTCGAGAAGGTGGCGGTCCGACGCCGTGATGCGGCCATGGTGGCCCACAAAGAGCACGAGGTCCATCTGCAAGAGGTGGTGCTGACGCATGTACTCTTCCGGCGCCTCGGTGGGTTTGAGCTCTGGCAGGTCGATCAGGCTGAGCGCGTGCCACGCGACGACCGTCGGCGCGTACTCGCGTTGGCGCACGTTGAGCGGCGCGAAGAACGGGTCGTTGCGCGTCGCGCCCGTGATGAGGTTGATGAGCGCCGACTTGCCGACGCCGCTAGGGCCGACGACTGCGATCGCGAAGCCGGTGCGGACGTCGACCTTGTACGTCGTGTAGAGCGCGCGGAGGGCGGCCTCGTCGCAGTCGCCGGCGGCCTTGCCGAGCGACTCGAGCACGAGGTGGAGCTTCTGGTAACTCGAGTCCTCCATCTTGTGAAAAATCCAATACTGGAAACATACTGGCGAACTTCGCTTCCGAGCTTCGTCTCATAACTTATTGGCAGAAACGCCGGCCACGAGCCATTTAAGCCAATCAATTGGCGCGGCGCCGAACTGGCCTTCGACCCATGCCGAACTTCAAGTTGCAGCTGCGCCCAGCTGGCGCTCCACATTGTCTTGGGTCCAGTATGCCACCCACCCGCGCCTCGCCGTTCGCGGTCGAATTTCCATTTTATTTCTCAACCCGTTCCCAAAATGACGCTGGTTTCCCACAAATGGGCGTGTCAACGCAACCGCGCCGGTACGAACCTGGTGCCAACCGCGTCTTTGCTGCGACGACGTCTATCAAGGATGCGCCACCGTCGGCCTCAAGTACAGTGTCTAACGCACTGGCCTGCAGAGCTGACCCACAGAACCCGCGGCGCGCTCGGCGGATGCTCCTGAGATTGACAGCGCGTTCCTGTGGCCTGCGAGCCGAGTTCCGAGCCAAGCACAAGTGGGTGCAGCAATCCAGCACGTCCTTGTGTCTACTCGACTGTCCAACTACTCATATCTCCGCCAATTGGTTGCGCATCCGCCTTCGAGAATGTGTGATGATGGTATGCTACACCAAGAAGGGTTGACATCAACCTTGGCGACACCACGAGTACATTTTTTGAAAAGAAATTGACACTGTGAGTTGCAGGACTGCAAACGCGACGAAGCGACGAAGCCGGCCACATTCGTGTCGGTAAACAGGCACTGTTGGCCCGCCGACCAGGTTGAGACAGATACGAAAATGGAATCCCCACAGGATTTCAGTCGTCACCCCGCTGCTGTTCGGTTGCCTTGAACTAGCCCAGAACCACCTGGATGAAATCAAGCCTTTCGTTGTCTACCACCCCTACCCCCGCCGCTCACGACCAGCTCGTGTAGGACCTGCGGCACACCGTTCCGCGTTCGTCGCTTGCGGAGGTTTGTATGGTGCACTGTATTGCATCGGCGCCCGACTCGACAAAAGCAAGCGCGCCAAGACGCCTGCTGCTTGAAGTTGCGAGTGCATCGCCACGCAAGCACGTTCGCGTCAACTTATCCACCCGCGATATCCACTACAGGACGTTGAAGCCGAGGCTCTGATTCTCTCCAAGCGGCCGTTTCTATCGCCTCCCGTCCTTTATCGAGCTTCGGACTCGACGCGAAGCGAGGTACTAGCATGCTAGTACTCGAGCGTGTCCGCAGGTTACACCTGTGGCTCTGCGTTTGCTTGCAGCCGGGACATCAACCCGCGAACCTCGCGAGGTATGAGCGAGAAGCGCTTCGTCAAGTGCGCTCGTACGTCGCTCACGGATGTCGAGTGACGCTAGCAGGTTGTTGACGAAATCGACTCGCTCGCCGTTGAAAGGTTCCGTCGACACGTAATGCGTCACATCCCTTGGACGAAACCGCCTCGTCGTCGTCGTACTTGATCTTTTCGGTTCGGCGCGGGTCAATGACCCACTTGATCTTTGTATACCCACGCCTGATCCCGACACACGCGCGATTGACTGGCGAAACGCCCACGAAACCTAGTGTGACGGGGCGGCGTCACGCACTTCTTTTCCGGATCCGCATACGTGAGCACCCCGTGACACCTCGGAGTCAGCGACTTCGGATTGGTCCATTTGCACCAATCAAACACGACAGGTGCAAAGATCGATCAATATGGGCCGTTGCGAAAAGTTCCATTTTGGGCGAGGAGGCATGGCCAGCTTGCCGCGGGCCACGCGCTCCTTGGACCTTCTCCAGGCGCGCCTCATGCTGCTCTGCCTCGCCGTGCTAAGCGCCGGCCTCGTCTTCTGGGCTCTTGGCGACGACATGGAGGCCATTGACGCGTCCGTGGAGCTCCACGCGGACCGCGTCCATGCGCTCTGGACCGACGAGACGTACCAGTGTCTCGGGTGGCGGGCCACCGCCAACTGCAATCCGCATGGCTGGCGCAAGCCGTCCAGAGACCGGGGCTGCAGCGATGCCATCGAGGCCGGCATGAGCGGGTACTGCGAGATCCGCAACCGGACGAGCGGCGAGATCTTCCACGTGATGCTCACGGCGTGCGACAGCATCAAGGGCAAGAGCTTTACGTGCATGGAAGCGCGTGACTTTAGCGACTACAGCATCCGCGCAGCGTCCGCGCCCGCGGTGTCGCTCTCGACGCCGGTGCTGCGTACGTTTGCCAATGTCACCAACGGCATCGTCATGTCCATCTACCCCAGCGTGCTCCCCAACGTATATGCGATCGTGCGCATGCTGAGGTTCTACAACTGCCAGCTGCCCATGGAGCTGTGGTACGAGCCGCACCAGATGCCCGGCGTGGCGACCAACCCGATCTTGGTGGCTCTCGAAGCCAATTATGGCCCGCTCGTGCTCCGGCCCATCCACGACAAGCGCGCGACGGGCTACATGACCAAGCCCTTTGCTGTCGCGCACAGCCAGTTTGAGAACGTCCTCTTCCTCGACTCGGACAATTTGCCGACGCGGGATCCGACCTTTCTCTTTACGTCGCCGCAGTTTCTCGCGAGCGGCGCGATCTTCTGGCCCGACTACTGGCACGACGTGCGATCCTATCTATCAATCTATCAAGTCGACACTGAATCATTTGCTAGATGTCATCGCCCTTTAACGTCCATGCGCGGTCGCTGCTCTGGGAGCTCGTCGACATGCCATTCGTCGACATGCTCGAGCAAGAGTCGGGGCAGCTCGTCATTGCCCGTATACAACCTACTCCCTGTATGTATCCACCTGCGATCTAGGGCACCGGTGCGCAACCGCGCTGGCCAAGGTGCTGCATTACGCGCTGGAGACGCCGCCGCTGCTGCAGAAGTACGGCCTCGTCTGGGGCGACAAGGACTTGTTTCGGCTCGCGTGGCTCAACACGTCGACGCCATTTGCGTTCGTGCCGCACCCGCCTGCGCTCGGCGGCTTCACGAAAGACGAGTACGTCGACGCGGTCGCGCCGGTCCCGAGCGTCTTGTACTGGCACGCCGTGTCCTTTTGCGGCATCGCGATGCTGCAACACGACTTTGACGGGCGCATCCTCTTTGTGCACCGCAACAGCGTCAAGCTCACGGGCGAGGCGGACCAGACGCCGCTCGTGACGCACGCGCAGACGTCGACGTTGTCGATGCACTCGAGCCCGCTCCTCGGCCACGGCAAGGCGTACTTTATCCAACTCTTTGGTACGTGCTGTTTTGGTGGCGTGCTTGACAATACCTCGCGGGTGCAGGGCATACGCTGGGACAGAAGGCGTGCTACTTGCTCACGAGCGCCGGCAAGATCGAGGCTGTCGACGCCATCGACGACTCGATGGCCAAGGTGGAGAAGATGGCGATTCACTACGCGATCGAGGCCGGCGACATGCTCCGGGCTGTCGCTCGGCGGCGCAAGGAGCTCGGCAGCGGCCACTGGCTGCTGCCCTTCGACGCACTCGACGCTCGCCACTCGGACGAGGATGCGATTCCCGTCATGTACTGGGTAACCGTTCACATGCTCGTCGGCGGGTTGGCTGGCTGGACATGGCGACGCCGCCAGCGCTTGGGCACAAAAGGACCGACAAAAGACAGAGCCATGCCGCCCCCGTACCAGATTCTGTAGCTGGGGAGGGTTATAACCTGTACATACATATGACATTAATTTGCAAATTCGGGGAAAGAACGGGTGCAGGCGTCACGCTTAGACAGTGTACACGGTGCTGCGCGATCCACACCAATGTAATAATGAATGACAATGTTAGCTCCACAACAAAGTCGCACGATAAAGTGGTAGTACATTAACAACGGCTTATCTCTTTTAGACGCACATGCTCGTTGCTCGAGGTTGTGGCAGACGCATTATTGCGGCGCGTCCGTCGCCGAGCCATTGGACCCCGTCGCCGATGCTTGGGACCCTGTCGCCGAGCTCGGGGGCGCCGTGATAGAATCATGGAACGGGCCTTGAGACCCCGTGGCTGAGCCATGGAACGAACCTTGGGACCCCGTGGTCGAGCCTGCGTTTGACGCAGCTGTTGGCGTCGCTTTGCCTTGGTCGTCGGCATCCGAACCGGAATCCGAGTCGCTGGATAGGAACCATCCACTCACGCCGCGCACGACGTAGCTTCCACCCTGCGCGACCTTGGTCACTGCGCAGCTGCCGTACTTGCCCATTTCGCAGAGCACCGTCGAGGCCGTGCTCAAGTCGGAGCAGTCCTTGTCGCAGTCCATGGCCGTCAAAGCCCGACCCGCGCGGAAGGGCGACGCTGTCGTCGACGCCGCGGTGGCCAACACACACACGGCAATAGTAGCTCCTTTCATTCTTCTACGTCAACGCAAATGCGGCAGTGCCGTTCCCGTCAGCTAAGACCAGGTGCAAGATAGCTTCATCTTGAAGTGGGTATGACCGTAGAAGATACCAATTGCACCAATCACCGAGCAGCATGCGCACGACCGTTCGCGACGCAGGAACACGACGGAAGTGGTGAAGTCCCTTCATTAGCTCGTACGCTCGGTCCCATCTCGTGACGTCATTGCACAGCGGGTGTCTTCGGGTGTCAGAACGAGTGACCCCCGCGTTAACGAAGGCAACCAAGGTGAAAGCAGATTTCCGCGAGGACGTCTATTGCTGCACACTCTGCGCTGCGCTCGACCATAAGCAGGAGCAACAGTACATGGAGAGACCTACGACATGTGCAGGAGGTTCGGTCCGTAGCAGCGCCTGCAATTTACCATTTGGTTGGGTGCGTTCAGCCAGCTAAAACCTCTCATATTGTATGTCAGACGTATAAAGAATCAGAGGATAAATCCAATTTTGCGGGAAGCAGGTACGGCTCTCGCAGCTGGGTCATGCACGCATGGGCTTGATCCAGGACGGCTAGGAGGAAGCATGGGACGCAAGGACGACTCCTCCGAAGACGACTTCCTACTAGAGAGCGACGACGACGACGACTTCGTGTCGTCGGCGCCCGCGAAGGCCAAGTCGCCACCCTCGGCCAAGGCCACGCCCAAGCGCAAGAAGCCCGACAGCGACGACGATGCGTCCGACAGCTTTCAAGACGACGACGACTTTGAGCAAATGAAGAAGGCCAAGACTGCAAAGAAGTCGCCGGCGCCCAAGCCGGCCAAGAAGATGCCTGCTGTGGAGAAGAAGCCGGCCAAGAAAGAGCCCGAGAAAAAGGAGCCCGAGAAGCCCAAGGACTTGATGAGCCAGTCGCAAGCCGAAGAGGAAGTGGCCAAGTACATGCGCCAGGTAACGCGATGCTGCTTCTGCTCATAAAGGCTTATACCGACCGCAGACCAACCGCCCGTACAGCGTTCTCAACGTCTTCGAGAACCTCCATCGACGCATTGGCAAGACGATGCTGACCAAGATCTTGGACGCTCTCGTCGAAAAGTAGTACCGGTCATGCCATTCGATGTCTTCTCATGGGACCGATAGAGGCGAGATCAAGTGCAAGACGTATGGGAAGAGCCAAATCTACTACTACAACCAAGTCTGCACCCCCGACCCATGCCAGAGGTTGATGTCGCTGGCCATTAGGAAAAGCTACCGCCTCCGTGCAGCACAACTCTTGCGCAAACCGAAGCCGCTATCCAGGTAGACTATGGGATGTTCCAACCGTCGTGCCTCAGGAGACAGTAGACGGTGGCCGACGACGTGCAGAACGCCGAGCGCGCGCTCAAGGAGGCAGAGTCGGTATTGCACGGGCTCTCCAACCAAATGACGGACGCGGAGCTCGACCAGCAACTCGCCGAGTACACTACGCAAGTGGGCATTCTTTGTAGCAGCGACTTTCGTTTATATAAATTTCCCGTAGGTGGCAACGCTGTCGGCGACGTTGCAGCGCTTGGACGACCCGAACGGCGTACCAGTGGCCCCCGAAAAGAAAAAGGCGATCACCGATCAGTTCACCAAGTACAAGGTAGAGAGAGATGAAACTCTTGGAGCGTGAAAATCATGGTATGCAGACGGCGTGGGTCAAGCGCAAGCGCATCGTCATGGACGCGATCGACCAGATCGCCGAAGGCATGGAGAAGAAGCGCAAAGACGTGCTGGTATCACACGCTGCGTTGTCATCTATCGACGCCAGAACCCATGCTATAGGACCTCTGCGGTATCGAGACGGACGAGAGTGTCGGCGTGAAGGCGCTGCCGTCGCTTTGACATCAAGAATACTACTATCTATGAGGGTTACACTATCAGCTTGCATGGTTCAAATCGGGTGCAGGTGGGGGCTGAGCCACGATAGAACTTCGCGTGCGGTTGGTCGGTCTTCGGGTAAATAGGCGAGGCACCGTCGCGCGACATTCAAGATCGGCGCGGGGCAGTCGGTCGAGAAGACGGGCCGGAGTTCGCCGGCCACAACGAGCATCGCGATGCGCGTTTTGGCGAGCTCGACGCCGAGGCACGACTCGGGGAGGAGCCGGTGGATGTTGGAGTACGGGATCTCCATCATGTCCATCTCCGAGATGAGCACACCGAGCGAGTACATGTCGGCCTTCTCCGTGTATCGAACGCCTTTGAGCACCTCGGGCGCGATCCAGGCGACCGTGCCGATCTCGGACGTCATGGTTTCTTCCGACGTCTCGCGCGACGTGCCAAAGTCGGTGACCTTGGCGACAAAGGTCTCGTTGAGCATGACATTTTTGGCTTTCAGGTCCCGGTGGATGACGTCTTGCGCATGGAGGTACACGAGCGCCTTGAGAATGTCGACGAGAACGCCGAGCTTGGAGAGCGCGGGGGCCAGCATGACCGTGTCCTTCTCGTCCTGGACGTGCCACGGGATGCGCTGCGCGTCATGGTCCGTGTCGAGGAGCGTCCACAAGTCGCCCTCGCTCATGTACTCGGTCACGACACTCAGATTCGGCAGCGTCGTCCAGCAGTACCCGATGAACTCGACAATGTGCGGGTGCTGCAGTCGGATGCAGAAGCGGATCTCCTCCATGAAATCCTCGATCGACCGGAGGCTCCGCAGCCGCTCCGGCAGCATGCGCTTGACAGCGACGAGCTGCGCGCGTCCTTTCTCCGTCTGAAGCGTCGCGAGGTACACGATGCCAAAGCCGCCGCGGGCCAAGACGCGGTCGCGCACGATCGAGTCGGCGGGAATGCGGTACCGCTGGTACGCAGGATCGAAGCGGAGGTCGTTGATGAGGTGCGCGCTGTCGGCAATATTGAGCGACGGGAACGTAGGCGACGACGAGTGCAGCCACGACCGGTGCTCGGCCTCGTACTGGAGGCGCCGGCGGCGCATCTCGTAGACGACGCCGCCGCCCACGAGCAGCGCGAGCGCGCAAAAGACCCCGAGCGCGATGGTGAGGACGCTCGTCGCGCTGTGGCCCTCGGCCGACGCGATCGGCACGACGCAAAAGAGATACCGGTTCCAGAGCGTCGCCGCCGTCGCACCGACCTCGGGGCACGAGCTCGTCGGCGCCATCACGGCCGACACGTCGTTGCACGCAGGATCGGCGTGCGAGAGGTTTTGCAGCGCCGTCAAGTCGGCAGCCGAGCCCGCGAACCGCACATGAGGGTTGCCCTTGAGACACCTAGGCAGAGGCGTGAGGTGCGTTAACGCAGCGTGCACGTACAGATCCACGAGCGTATGCGGCAAGATCGACGCGTTGATCCACGTGAGGTTGTTGTCGACGAGGTTCAAGCTAGCGAGGCCGTACGGCAGCGCAACGTTGTTGAGCGTGCGGAGTGCATTCCCCTTGAGATTGCTACACCAGAGCGTCAGGCGCTGGAACGACTACATCGATAGATAGGTATACAGAGAGGCGAGGCTCTCGCCAAACGAGACGCCGTCGAGGGACGCGATCGAGTTGTTCTGGAGGGAGAGCGTCACGAGCCGTCGGAGGGTGGTGGCCATCGCTTTGGGGAGACCGACGAGCTGGTTGCTGTCGAGGAACAACACCTCGAGCTTGGTGGGCCACACCGTGCGCTCGATGGAGACGATGCGGTTGGCGTTGAGGTTGAGGACGCGGAGCTGCTTCATCGTCGAGATGTCGCCGACGCTCTCGATCCAGTTGCGGTCGACAAACAAGTTGAACGTCTGGTCCGACGTCATGACGCCGTCGATGGACCGGATGTGGTTGTCCGAAAAATTGCTATAAAATTGTGCATGAGCCCTTCTCGAGGATGGCGGCGCCTACAGCTGCGTTGCTTCGACCGCGCGATTGTTGGGGACCGCCCGCTTGTTGGACGTGAGGTCGAGCGCGAGCGTCTCAATGCCGAGGCGGAAGAGCGTGCTACCACGTCGTCGTCATGAGGCAAGGGCCGTGGCAGCGCGTACGTACATGTACGAGACGACGCTCGAGAGGCCCTCGACGTAGCTCACTTCGGAGCCCGTGCCCATGAGGAACTGCGTGCTCTTCTTGTCGTTGGCGTTGGGGCCGCCGGGCCAGTCGCTCATCGGGATATCGTTCTCGTTGAGGTTGACGCCGATCGTGCACGAGCCGTCGGCGTGCCAGATGCACGTGCTGTCGTCGACGTTGGTCCGCCACGTCGGTTTGCGGAACTCGGAAAAATTGCACGCGTCGCACTTGGTCGTGAACGTCGGCCGCGTCACGTTCTCGCGGGCGACGCCCGGTAGCATCGTCGCGCGCTCCGCCTTGTAGCCGACGTCCTGCGCCGCGACGACGGCCGCCAGTAGCACCACCGACGTCGGTGGCCTCATCGTCGTCTGAAGGCGGTTGGAGCCAGCGACGCTGGAAACTTGACCCAGCCCAGCACGCGCCCATCATTACGTGCGCCAGCTGCTCGGTCCAATTCGGACAATTCGCCGAAAATCACCCCAATGTCCTGAAATAGGCACGTTGACATCCGAAATCAGGCGACGCCGATGATGGAGGCCGCCTGTACGAGCACGCTTCTACCCGAGGTACAGGTAGCGTGGTCGGGCCATGCGCGGAACGTCATCCATCGCCGCCCATGGCGCCATCATGCGAGCGATCATGCTTGCTTACGACACGCCACCGATATGCACTGTACATCATCATCATCCTCGACGATGACCAGTGGCATCTCTCGTCGCGGGCCGGTCGTCCAGCGCGTACAAGAGACAGCGGCGGGCGAGGTCGATCATTGCCAGCGGGCAGCACTTGGAGAAGACGGGCGGAAGCTCGCCGGCGACAACGAGGTGTGTCTTGGCAAGGTCAACGCTGACGCCAGTGCAGGGTACGAGCCGGGGCATGTTGGCGTAGTACGGTACTTCGAGCGCGTCGAGCGCCGAGAGCCGAGCGAGTACATTTCGGCCTTGGCCGAGTACTGGACGCCGTTGAGGACTTTGGGTGCGATCCAGGCAACCGTGCCGATCTCGGCCGTCATGGTTGCGTGCTCGGTCGCCTTGCGGGACGTGCCCGAGTCGGTGAGCTTGCAGCAAATATGGCGTCGAGGAGGTTACTTGGGGCCATGAGGTCGCGGTGGATGACGTCTTGGCCGTGCACGCACACCATGGCCGCGACAACGTCGTGAAGCACGCGGCGCTTGGAGAGCGGCAGCAACGATGCGGCTCGGGTTAGCATCGAGAAGTTCCTCGATAGCATCCGCGTCGTCTGGACCATCTCGAGGAGCGTCTAGAGGTCGCCGTGCGTCCGAGACGCAGCTCAGCGTCCAGAGAACGTTCGAACAGCCGCGGGAGGGCACGATGCGTGGGTGCTGGAGCCGCAGACAAAGCCAGATCTCGTCCATAAAGTCCTCGACCACATACTTGTCGTTCGCTCAGGCAAGATGCGCTTGACGGCCACCGCCGCCACGCACCGTGAGGCGGCCCAAGGACACGATAATGCCAAAGCCACCGCAGGCCACGACCTGCTGCAGCGAGAGGTCGGTGTGCGTATACTCTACTCTACCACCCAAATAGCTCAAATCAGTCGACGCGAAGAGGAAGACTTGGGCTTAACGCGGGTCGAGGCACAGATCGTGGGGCACGTGCTCGTAAAAGGCCGAGTTGTCGTCGTTGTTGGTCTCGGGGTGCAGCCACATCGTCTCCTTGCTCGAGCGGCGCACTCCCCAGACGAGGCCCACGAGTGTGACCGAGATGAGCGACATGCAGCAGCGACGATTCGGCGTAAGATTGGCATCGCCATCCATTCGGCGTCGAGCCAGTCGTCCTGGACGAGGCACACAGTGTAGACACCCAACGCGTCGCCTCTGCACGGTCGATCGGCGGCGTGGGCGGGCGCCCGACGTTTTTGGTAAAGTTTAGCAGCCGGTGTAAGACTGGGAGCGCGTCGCCGACGGTGGGCTCTTCCCAAAACACCTCGTACAAGAGAGGACGCCGCATGAGAAGACGACGGATGTGCCATGCGACGCACAGACAGGACGTCGAGGGCTTGTCGAACATGGGGCAGAGCTTCTGGAGCGGGTTCTCCATGCCATGGAGCGCAGAGATGTCGACACGTTGCGGACGCTCGTGAAGCTCATTGTTGCGCGAGAGATCGCTAGTACTTGGGATCTCGAAGACGAAGAAGATAGCGTATGGTCGTGCCGCAGGCAATGCCGACGGACGAGATGCCGTTGTGGCTCAGGTTGAGCCGCTGGAGGCCGCTGGGCAGCATGGGGACGCCGTCGAGCGTCAAGAGAGCGTCGTCGCCTTCGCAATGTGCCAGTCGCTTACTTCGTTCTATGAGACTTGAGACTTGCCATCTTGGTCGATGGACGCTGCGGATTGTGGAGGCCCGACAGGTTGCCGGCATGTGCGATGCGGTGTCGATGCTGCCGAGGCTGCTGCAGCTCAGGTTCCGCATTCGTCGTCGCTTAGCCGACTGCATCGCGAGCGCCAGGTCGCACAAGAGGACGGTCGAGGCCTCGTCGCAAGTTGCTACTCTGCGCTCTAGAGCTGGCTTGCTCCTAATGTATGCACGCTGATCGACAGTCCACGCGCAGACTGCCGACGACGACGACGCCGTACAGTGTCACGGGGCATAGGTGCGGGCGCAGGTACCGGTACTTGGACCCGCATCGTCGCAGTCGCTCACTCCTCAAGAGGGTAATGTGGTATGTGCATCGTCGACATATTGGGTCCCACTCTGCGATGCCGCATTACTCACCCTGCATCAGACGTGTCCGGCGCATACCGTAATAACCGTGTGCTCGACACTTCAGTCCACGAAGAAAAAGACAATATTCTAAATAATAAAACAAAAAAGCTAGAGGAGGAGCACGCGGATGGCCGCGTCGACGTCTTGGATCGACGGCCGGTGATGTGGGTCGTGCGTGAGGCATTGGTGCGCCAGGTCGCGCAAGGCGAGGGGCATGCTGCGGGAAAAGGTCGGCTGGAGCTCGTTGGCCGCGACGAGGAGCGCGATGCGCGTCCGCAGCGCCGAGACGTCGCCGTCGAGGTGGGCGTACGGCGGCTCGCGCGTGTCCATCTCGGCCATGAGCACGCCGAGCGAGTAGACGTCGGCCTTGGCGTCGTAGAAGCAGCCCTTGAGCACTTCGGGCGCGATCCACGCGATCGTGCCGACGTCCGCCGTCATCGTCACGTCGCTCGCCTCGCGCGCGACGCCAAAGTCGGTGAGCTTGGCGATGTAGTCGCTGCTCAAGAGCACGTTGCGGGCCTTCACGTCGCGGTGCAGCACGGGCGGGTCGAGCGTGTGGAGGTAGTGCAGTCCCGAGACAACGTCGACCAAGAAGGAGAACTTGGACGTCGTCGCCTCGTCGCGGAGACTGCCGTCGTCCGAGACGAGCGTGCTCCGAGAGCTGCTGAGCGCACTCGGGTGCCGGCGCTTGAGCGGCTTCTCGGTCGTGTGCCACGGCACGTCGTTCTCGAGCAGAAAGTGCCAGAGGTCGCCGCGCGCCATGTACTCGGTGACGATCGAGAGGTTGGCGAGCGTCGTCGACGTGAACCCGACGAAGCGCACAATGTTGGGGTGGAAGAGCCGCGCGCAGAGGCGGATCTCGTCCATAAAGTCGGCGACGCACGCAGCGTCATCGAGGCGCGTCGACAGCAAGCGCTTCATCGCGACGTCCTCGTGTCCTTGGAAGGTTGCGGCAAAGACGACCCCAAAGCCGCCGCGCGCGAGCACCCGCGTCGGCGTGAGCTCGTCCGGCGGGATCCAGAACGGCGCGTAGATCGGGTCCCGGCGCACGTCGTTGACGACCGTCTCGATCGGCGGAAGAAGGCCGCCATCGCCGAGGTCGAGGAGCATGCGCAGCTTCCCTTGGTCCGCGTCGGCGCCGCGCTTCTTGTAAAAGCACACAAAGCTCCCGCCGACGACGAGCAAGAGAAACCCAAACGAAGAGAGCACTGCGAGCCACGTGGCCTGCGAGATGGGCGGGGTCGGCGGCAGATAGATCGCAGCGTACGAGTCGACCACGCAGATCGGGACCGTGCCCCAGACCCGCTTCACGCGGAACCGGCCCGTGCACGCGTCCGAGGTCGTCGTGACCGAGACGAAGGGCGTCGACGGCGAGCACTCGCTGCTGGTCGGGCCCACGCTGCGCGGATGCAAGAGCTTCTCGAGGAGCGCAAACTGCGCCGGCGTCGCGTACAGCGCCGTGATGGGGTTGCCGCCGAGGCAGAGCAGCCGCGAGCTGGGCGTGAGCGCCAGCTGCACTCGCGAGATCTGGTTGTGTTGCAGGTCGCTACGCAGCACGGGTGTGAGCTGCGGCGTCCTATAGTATCCTATAGAAAGCCTACAGGCTCTGGACCGAGGCCGGGAGCGTGGCTGGCATGTCCCGCAGCTGGTTGTGTGCGAGCGACCTAAGCTCTCATGAGTCAAGCGCAGAGAGAGAAAAAGCGAACGCACAGCGTGGCGACGGTCAATGGCACGGCCAGAATAGGGTACACGGTCAGGTTGAGTCGCGCGAGGGACACGTCGGTGAGGTTGGGGAAGATAGACGCGATCGGCGGCGGTGCAGCGAACGGGTTGCCGCTCACGCTCCTACGCCCGCCATCAGCAGCGATTCGGTTGACTAAGAGGACGCACAGGCGACGGAGCGACGGCGCCGTGAAGCGCTCGAGGGTCTGCAGTCGGTTGTTGTCGAGGACCCTATTCACCATGTATGAGCTGCCGTCGACAGCTGCCGCGCTACAGACAGCGTGTGCATGCCGAGTGGGAACGTAACGTTGGCCACCGACACCACCGAGTTGTTGGTCAGATCCCTGTGGACAGCGTCAGAGACTACTAGTACACAGCTAATATTGCGAGGCGTACAGTCGGCGGGCGGCGACGAGAGACGCATTGTTGCGGTCGAGGCGTGGGCCGAGTCGCTCGAGGCCGACGTTCTGGACGCGCCTGCAGTCCACACGACGTTAACCACCTTCGCGAACAACAAAGAGGTCGAACGTACACGTCGTGGAAGGTGCTTGGGAGCGACTCCAAGTACGAGATCGGCGGCGACTCGTGCCGCCGGAGCAAGCGCCCGGGCGACGCCAAGCCCGTGAGGCCAATGTCATGCGAGCCGCTCGTCGCGTTGAGCGCGTGGAGGTAGGTCACGCCGTCGGGCAAGAGCACGCACCAAAGGTTGCCCGAGCCCGTGTCTGGGATCGCGTTGACGATCGCTTGCGGGAGGTCGAGCACCGTTGCGGGACAGTTGGCCGTAAGCGTCGTCTCCGGCGTACTCCACGTCGAGAGCACTTGCGACGCCCGCATGTAGAGGCCCTCGGCCACGAGCGCTGCCCGAGGCTCGGCGTTAAGGTCGATCGGTGGCAGCGTCTCGCGCACCGCGTGCGCCGCGGCGACGAGCGGGAGTAGCCGGCGCAGCATGGTCATCCCACAAGTGCAATTCGAGACAGGCGGCCATGGCGCTGAGAAAGGCGGGTGCGCATACGTTCTTAGAGGTCACTCGACCGCTCCAAATCATGTCTGAGAGGACACGTGGCACTCACGCTACGAGCACCTGGAAATGCTTGCAGGCGCACGCAAGAGCGTTCGAAAGCAATAAGAAACTGCAATCTCGGATTCAAGGGGACGCCGGCTCGGTATAAATAGAGGCGCCTTGGATCTGCTGGCAGTAGGCCCACACGTCTCGGATGGTCGGGCGGGCGGTAGGCTCGTACGCCAAGCAGCGGTCGGCCACGTCGGCGATGCACCGGGGCACGTCGGCCGAGAAGGACGGGCGGATCTCGCCCGAGACGACGAGCATCGCGATGCGCGCCTTGATGGCGCTCACGTTCCAGTGGCCGTTGGCGGTCTGGATTGCGTCCAAGTCTGCGTACGGGATCTCGAGCGTGTCCATCTCCGAGAGGAGGACGCCGAGCGAGTAGACGTCGGCCTTCTCCGTGTAGTAGACGCCCTTGAGCACTTCGGGCGCGATCCACGCGACCGTGCCGATCTCGGCCGTCATCGTGTAGTCGCACGTCTCGCGCGCGACGCCAAAGTCCGTGAGCTTGGCCACAAAGTCGCAGCTCAAGAGCACGTTCTTGGCCTTTAAATCGCGGTGCACGAGCGGCGGCTGTCGCGTGTGGAGGTACAAGAGGCCCTCGACAATGTCAACCAAGAAGGAAAACTTAGAGATCGCCGGCGGCCGCGACCGCGACCGCAGGATGCACGGCGAGTACGGACGCAGCGGCACCGTCGCGTCCTTCTGCAGCTGCCACCCGAGTGGCGTGTCGTTGAGCTTTTGCACGCGAAGCCACTGCCAGAGGTCGCCCCTCTCCATGTACTCGGTGACAATCGCCAGATCGGCGAGCGTCGAGTAGCTAAAGCCGTAAAAACGCACAATGTTGTCATGTCGAAGGCGCGCGCTGAAGCGGATCTCGTCCATGAAATCGTCCATGCAGCGCAGGTCGCTCAAGTGACTCGGCAAAAGGCGCTTGAGCGCCACGCGCGTCGGCGAGAGCACGTCGGGCAGCGTCGGCGTCGGCTGCAGCGTCGCGAGGTACACGATGCCAAAGCCGCCGCGCGCCAGGATGCTCTGGCGCTCGATCGCCGCCTCGGGCAGCCTATAGGCAGCGAACGCCGGGTCGGACCGCACGTCGTTGTGCAAGAGGGCGGGTCGAGCGCGATCGTGTCCATACCGAGCATGCCTTTTGTGTCCATCTCCAAGTCCATGCCTTCGTACCTACGCATCTTATGGGCCTCCGCGTGGATGTCGTCTTCCCGGTATGGACACTACCATTTCGGGGCTGGCCGCGGCCGCCGGCGAAACCGGAGGTAGAGCACGAGAAGCCCGATGGCGATGACGCCGAGGAGCGCACTCACGACGATGAGGGCCGTCGTAACGCCGCTGGATGATGACGGCGGCGACGTCACGAGGCTGTCGAGAGCTGTGTCCAGGATGCACACGGGGTACCTGTCCCAGAGGAGACGCGTCGTGACATGCCCGGTGCACGACGTGTTGGTGGTCATGGTCGTCAGCAGCGGCGACGCCTCCGAGCACCGAGACGCATCGAGCGCGTTGGCCGACGCGGAGCGCTGCGGCAGCGCCGAGAGAAGCTCAAACTGGGCCGACGTCGCGTAAAAGGCCGTGACCGCGTTGCCGCCGAGGCATAGCACCCGCATGGCCGGCGTAAAGTTGGCGTAGACGGTCGTGATCCCAGCATACTGCGCGTTCCTATGCCATGAAACGTTCATACCTCGCTTCAAAGACTATGTCGTGTACAAGTGTCGCAGGGCTGGCGGCCAGGCGCGGGGCGAGAGCTGCGACAAGCGGTTCTTGGCGAGCGAGCTACAAGGCGTGAGAAATTGCGTGTCCAGAGGCCGCGTACAGCTCTGTCAGGCTACTCGGTAGCGACGACGGTATCTCCGTCCACTCCATCTCGTCCGCGACCAGTCGCCGCAGCGTTGAGAGCGTCCTTGCAACCGTCGGGGTGAACGCACTCGGCGGCAGCGTCGGGTTGCGGCTCACCGACCTACGAACGCAGCGTGATCCACGGGCTGGGACTGCAGCCGACACGTACAGCATGGACAAGCGCGGCGCGGCGATCCCGTCCATCGACGTGAGCTTGTTCTGGGCCAGAATTCTAATCCGCATGAGCCCGCGATTGATTCGTGGCCGGACGTACAGCATGTGGAGGTTGCGCGGGAAGGCAACGCCGTCGACGGACGCAATCGAGTTGTTGGCGAGGTTCCTACGTCCGCAAAGCGTAAGCGGGTCATCGCCCCGTGCAAGAACACCGACATGTAGCGCAACAGCACGTTGGACGACCACGGGCTGTCCGGGATCTTGTCCTGGACAAGCGTCGGGCCCAGCGATTCGAGGCCGAGGTTCGTGAGCGTCCTAATCGCCACATAGCTTGTGCATACGACGTCGTCGCTGGACGTACAGCGCTGTGACGTTGGGCGGGACGTCGGCGAGGTGCAGCACAGGCGGCGTCGAGTACGCGCCGTTAGCCTGGCTTTGCAACACGACCGAGAGGTCTGCTGTCGCGTTGTGGGCGTTGAGGATGCGACCGGTTGCGGTGTAGATGCAAAAGTACTTGTTGACAAGCGACAAGCCCATGCTCGGTGGCTCGTTCGCCTCGGCGGGGAGGAGGCACGCAAAGGGGCACCTTGCCGTGAGCGTCGTGGCCGCCACGCCCATGGTGGGGGCGCACCCTGGCCCGCGCTCGGCGTAGACGTACGCCGGCCGCGCGGCCTCGGCCACGGTCGCCTGCGTCTCGTTCGGCATCTCGCGGGATGGTGGCCCAGAGCCAGAGCCAGTACCGGTACCCGGGTGCTCGCCTGTGTTGCGGACGCTCGCAACGTTGCGTATGCATTTTCGCAGTCTATCGATTCTCGAAGGATGCTGAGCTCCACGGCCCGCGGAATGACCTTGGACGCGGACGAGGCCAAGACGAAGAACCGGCAGCGCCTGCGCGACTACCGGCGCCTGCAGAAGCGCCAACACGCCTTCTTGACCCAGCGAGTGCGCGAGCTCGCGGCGGAGGCGGCGACGCTCCGCTGCGCCAAGCCGCTGCCATGGCACGAGGTCGCCGCCGTCTTCCGCGACGACGTACAAGACGCGCTTGCAACGCAACGGTCGCTGGCAGCCCAAGTCGCGCAGTGCGGCCACGCAGCCAGCATCCTCGAGGCGTGGGTCCGCGCCAGTGTCCCGACAGCGCTGGTACGCTGACCGACCTTTTCGCCTTGGCCTCATGCCAGCGGCGCAGGCCTCGTTTCTGCCGCACCAAGCGCCGTGGACGCAGCACCGACTGCTCGCGCCGACTGCACTGCGTCTCCAGAGCCTGTCGTGGGTCACGGACCGCCTCCTGCACAACGCGGACGCGGTGCTGGCGTGCTGTCGGCGCCAAGAGCAGGCGCGCGTGACGCTCCATGCTCTGAGTTACATCGCATGGTCCCTGCGCCGTTTCTCGATGCTGTCGCTGCGCAGCGGCGCATTTACTCGCACACGCCGGAAGGCAGCTTTGTCGACCGCGAGGTAGACGTTGCGAAATGCCGTGGCTGGCCTTAAGCCGCATGGGCTACTGTAGCTCCTGCAAGCGTCGTTTGGAGGCGACTTTGTGCACGAGCAAGTCGGCGATGTGCGGGTCCTGTACCGGCATTTCGTCGACGAGCGCCGCGCCACGATGGTTGCGCTCAGCATCGCGCCTCGCCCGACGAGGCCCTCAGCCAGGAGCCGTCGTACGGCTGGTGCACGACGGCAGCTCGAAGAGACTCTCGACTCTAGTAAAATTATTGTAGGACCGAGCTGACACCGGTGACACCGACGACGACGCGCGTGCTCGACGTCTGGCTCAGTCTCCTCACGACGCCGCCAGCCAACGAGCGCGACGATGCGCTGGGGCATCACGCACGGTTTCTGCACGCCACACAGGCAGCCTACGACGCCAACCTCGCCCACTGCAACGCGCTCTTCCTCCGCGAACTATGCACTTGAATGTCCGATGTACACAAAGTAGAAGGGTGATCTAATTAAATTTTGGCTTTCTTGGCCGGCGGCGCCAAGTCGTCGTCCGTCGCGGCCGGAAGGAGCTTCTGCATCGAGGCAATGGTAAAGTCCACAAGGTACGACTTGCAGAGCATGCGGTCCATGCGCTGGTAGTGGCGCTCCGAGAACGCGATGAGCCCGTCGAGCGTCTTGGCGGCGTGCGGGACATTCGACCAGCGGCTCGGCGGCACGAGGCGCAGGAGGCTCGAGAGGAGCAGCTGCGACACCGCCGCGTGCTTGCTGTTGGTGTTCCAGTCGCGCAGCCACTCGAGCAGCTGGCCGAGGTTGGCGTCGTCGAGGCCGCGCACCACGTCGTCGTAGACGTGGACGTCCGACGCCGTCGCAACGTCTTTGCCCTTGGGCCCTTCCTTGAGGTCGCGCAGAATCGTCATGAGGCGGAACGGGTGCGCTATCTCAAACGCGATCGAGACGGCCTGGAGGTAGTCCTCGCTGCGGAGGCAGTTGAAGAGCTCTTGCTCCTTGAGGAGCTTGGCGTCGCGGTCCGCGAGCGCCTTCTCCTCTTCGATTTCGGTAAAGTCGTGCCAAATGTGGATCGTCGAGTCGGCGCCGCCCGTGACCATCTCGGACGAGTCCTTGGCGACTGCGAGCGCCCAGATCTTGTCCGCGTGGTGGTCGAGCGTGTTCTCGCACTCGTTCGTCTTGATGGTCCAGAGCTTCACGAGGCCATCGGCGCCCGCCGACACGAGCTGCATGCCTGCGCAGACAAACTGCACGTTGAGCACGGACGCCGTGTGGCCCTCGAACGTCTTGAGGCACGAAAAGTCTTTGAGGCTCCAGAGCTTGACCGTCTTGTCGCTGCTGGCGCTGGCCAAGCACTGGTCGACGGGCGAGAACTCGAGCGCCCACACGCCGCGCTTGTGGCCTCGGCACGTCCCGATCAGCGCCAGGTTGGACGCGTTCCAGATCTTGATGAGCTTGTCCTGCGAGCCGCTCGCAATGAAGCGGTCGTTCGGCGCGACCGCGAGCGCGTTCACGTCCTTCTCGTGCGCCTTGGTGGCCGCCATGGCCGAGAGCGACAGCGTCGACGCGCCGCCGTCTGCGAGCACTGGGCCGAGGCTCCAGAGCTTCATCGTCTTGTCGGTCGAGCCCGTGACGAAGAACGCGCTGTGGGTGCTGTAGTGGTGCAGCTTTTGCGCGATCGCAATCGAGCCGAGTGACTCGGCGCCCGCGACGCCGACGGCCACGCACGCGTGCGTTGCGAGGTCCCAGACGCGCGCCGTGCCGTCCTTCGAGGCCGACACGAGGTACTTGCCGTCCGGGCTCACGGCGAGCGCCATCACAATGTCCGTGTGGCCCGAGAGGAGCTCGCACGAAAGCGTCTCCCGGTGCATGACGCGGATCTGCTCCGAGTTGGTCGCGGCGACCAGCTGCTCCGAGAGGCCTGCGCCGTCGGCCGTCGGCACAAACTTGAGCGCGAGGATGTCGTCGTTGAAGCCGATGATCTGGCGCGAGCGCACGAGGTCATTGGCGCCAAACACCAACAAGTTGTGCTCGGCCGTGACCGCGACAAGCTGGTCCGCGTTCAAGAGCAGGTCCGTGTACTTGACGCGCGCGTCCTCCTTGGCCTGCGAAGCCACGACGCTGCACGCGGCACCGTCGAAGACCCAGCGCTTGAGCTGGCCCTTCTCGCCCGCCGTGACAAACGTGATGCCCGACTGGGACGGGAGCACGACGAGGCCCGTCACGGGCTCGTGCGCGAGCACGGTCTGCAGCAGCTTTTGCGTGCGGAGGTCCCAAAAGTTGATGACCTTGTCGCGACCCGAAGAGAGGAGCGTGTCGCCATCTACAGACACCCGTCATCAGCCGAGATGCAGTGTATTATCGATGGCAATACCCAGGGCAAAGGCCACGGTCGTCGCCGGGTTCATGTGGTCCTTGATGCACGCGACTTCCTTCTGCGCGTACAAGTCCCACACGCGCACTAGACAGAGACATATAAGAACGGAGCGCACATGGAGGCAGTGACATACCCGTCGAGTCGTCGCTCGAGGACGCGACGAGGAGCTGCTTGGGGTCCCAATGAAACTTGACAAGCGTGACGATGCCCGTGTGCTTCTTGAAGCTGTGCGTGCAAAAGCCCTTCTCAATGTCAAAGACCTTGACGGAGCGGTCGCTGCCACCCGTGGCCACGAGCGTGCCGGTCGGGTCAAAGTCCATGCACAGGATCGGCGAGTCGGCCGTCTTGATCGTGCGCAGGCACGTCTTGGTGTCAATGTCCCAGAGGCGCAGCAGCGAGTTGCGGCTCGCGGTCACGAGCTGGCGGTGCTTGGGTCGCCACGCAAACGTCACGATCGACTCCTTCTGCTCGTCCGGCACGTCGGCCTGGAGGGCAAACTGGAGCTCGCCCGTCGCCGCGTCCACGATGGCCACGTCCTCTTGCAGCATGCAGGCGAGGCGGTCGCCCATGATCTCGACCTTACCGCCCGTGTAGATGCCGGCGTGCGTGCGCACGGGCGCCCACGTCTTGGTCACGGCGCTTCGCTTCGGCGCGTTCATGCTAAATCCTTGGTCCCAACCGATTTGACCTCGAACGAGCCACGGAACCAATCGAATCCAACGACTGGCATCCCGGCCTCTGATTGGCGGACGACCGGCTTTTTAAATTGCAGCGATACAAGATCGGAGTGCCATTTGGCTTCAGTCTCGGCAGCCTCGCTCCACCTTGGCGTCAACCGAGCTACTCAACACGGCCCAACTCTCCAGAGCACAAGCTCGATCTCAAGATTGGCGCCTCGATCATGCGTCTCCGCAACATTTCCAACGGGACGCGCCTCATTGTCGAAGGCCTCCATACGCGCTCCAACAGACGCGCATCTTGACGAGGTCTCATGGCTGGGGCCATGACGTCTATTCCACGCATGACCAAGGTCAGCGACGCCAAGACAGCCGACTACCATTTCTACATCCCAATTTACGCTGCGACTTGAGTACTAGTATGCTATGGCAATTACCAAGGCCCATGGACAGACCGTGCCTCATGTCGGCGTGTACCTGCCGAAACCCGTCTTTGCCCACAGCCAGCTCGACGGCGCGCTCTCGCGCGTCAAGGCCAAGGCATTTTCGACGACAACAACGACGACGATGACAATAGCGGCGAGGACGATTGAGCACCAAGCACGAAGTGTTGGGGCAAATAAGAGTATTATTCAACTCTTGCTCAACTGCAAAGTCAACATTCAATATGCAGAGATTGAGCATTTCCATGAAAGAAACCTAAACACGCCCGTAGAGGCGTAGCAGGTTGAACTTCATCGTGGACTACAAGGTTGACATGTAGAAAATATCACTTGTGCTTGCTCGTGGTGGTCCAGTTGTGGTGAAGTATCCTGGCGCCATTTTCGGAGTGGCGTGGCGGGGATGACTGGGAGACTAAAACGCACAGTGGCTATGCTACCGGGGCTGTATACGCCTACTACTGTACTGTCTCCCATCTATTGCATGAATCGCACCAGGTCCTTCGCTTGCTCAACCTTGAGCGCAGAGAAATTCATCCACTTGTTGGTCATGTTCCTAACAGCAGGACCACATCCGGAGGGATGCTGCTGGTCATAGGCTCCTATAGCGAGGTCTTGAAACCTCGATAGGGAGACCTATGACCAGCATCCTTCCGGATGTGGTCCTGCACAGTTTCGAGTCGTGGTCTTGGAAGATCGCGTCGATCGATCGCGGTGCGACATCTTGGCGGACTGCGCGAGTTGTGCGAGCGACGCGTTCGGGCTTTGTCCGCTTGTCGTGGACGTGGTCGGCCGCGGAGCTGGTGGGTCGATCGACGTCGCTGGACGTGTCCCTGCGGCGCACGAGCCCTTCGAGGTGCGGGTCACGAAAACCGTCGGAGGTTGAGCCGAGGTCCGGTCCGGTGGGCGCGACCGTCAATCTTGGTGGGCTCGCTCCACGCGCGACCTTGTATGGCAGGCGCGACCTTGGACGTCAGTTGGATCGATGCGACTTGATCTTGATCTCGTGTCGGGATCGTTGAGTCGTTCGTCCGAGCCGTCGTTCGGCGCATGGCTTCGTGTTCATTGGCGCTGGACGTCTTGTGCGAGTCGAGTCGGTGCTGATACATATTGTACGCTTGGGTTGACGACCGCTTCTGGTTGTCGCGCAGTAGGGCTCGTTTAAGGCTCGGCGGCATGAGCGTCGTGAGTAGGCGTCAAGAAGGTCAGTTATCTACAGACACCAATGATGTGATAGCATGTCATGGGTATGGTGTCGAGTATCGTGTGTTGGGGACATCAGCTTGAGCTGCAACAAGGGCGCTTGCTGGTACCTAGGGTATGTATTAATAGATGTGTAATCGATAGCGACCAATCCCGATGGGAGTTGGAAGCTTGGTTGATGCACTGAGGCGCATTGCGCTACCTCATAGTCATCGTTCCATAGACATAAGCGTAGGCCCAGAGGCTGAGTACCAGACGCAACCGTTCCGTAAAAACTTGGTTGTCTCGTCATTGTCGGTTCGACGGGTCCTTGAGGGTGACGTCGTTCTCACGACACGCGTAACGGTACTGCGGCGTGTCTTTGATAGCCTTCGTGACATCGACCGTCACGGTCGTTCGCAGGGCGGCGACATCAACGACTCCATCGTAAAGTTTGCCGTCCTTGGCGACGTTGTGGTGTGCTTCGTGAGTGACGGTGTCATGACTGTCGGTGTCGACGTCGTGACCGCGGTGCCCGAGTCGTGGCTGCCGACGTTGCATCGGCGTTTCATCGATGTCGCGGTTGTCGACGTACAAGCAGTTGACGTCGCAACGGCGTTGCATCGGCGTCGCGGCAGTTGGCGTCGTAACGGCGTCGCATCGACGTCGTAGCAGTCGGTCTCGACCTCTTGTATGCCGTCGCGTAGAGACATCGTCGGCGTATTGTAGCTCGTTGGAAACGACGTCGTAGCTAGCCATGCAGTCACCATCGTGGGAGCAGTTGAAACCGGTGTCACCGTCGTGGAAGCAGTCGAGGCCGGTATCACCGTCGTGGGAGTGTGACACGGGCTGCAGCAGTCGCTTGAAGATCAGTGGTAGAAGCACAAGCATCGTGTGCGGCGTCGTCTGGGCATCCGGTGCTGGCTGCACCCGTGGGTTGCGCGGGCGCGTCGACTTCAAAAGAGCTGTCGCGAGCGGTGTTGTTGCAAGCGTGTGCAAGCACATCGTCGACCGGATTGGGAGCATTTGCGTCGTCGCGTCCACATTGGACACGACCATCATTGGCCATCGACTTCGACAACGCGGCGGCTGGGCAGGAGCGTCGACGTCACGAGCAACGAGCAATCGCGTTCTGTAGTCGTTGCAAGTGAGGCAGGCGCGGCGACTTCACGAGCAGTCGCGGTTTGTGGTCGTTGTAAGCGAGGCAGACGCGTCGACGTTGGACACGGCCATCTTCAGGCAGTGACGTCGACAGCCGCCGTCCGTCGTTGTAGCACTGGACACTTTGGTGTCGACGCCTGGCGTCACCGTAATCGGTGATTTTGAACGTGACAGCGTCGTCGCGGCATCGACTCACGTACGTCTCACAACCGGGCATGGCCTTCGCCGGGCATCGTCGAGGCGTGACACATCGTCGGCCGTCGCGTCCGTCATGGACACCGTTGTGTCGGCCTAGTGGGCACCATGACGTCGTAACGTTGGCAGGTGCCTTCGCCACCGAGAGCACCAATAGTGACAGGCAGTTGACTGCGGTTTGTCGACGGTCAACTGCAGTTGCAGACGTCGAGAGGCAGTTGGCTGCACGCTTGGCGACGTCCGACGGCAGTTACTGACGTTCGGCGCAGTTGCTGACGTTCGGCGCAGTTGCCGACGTCCCGATGTTGTCGCTGCCAGGCAGGCGGTGGGCGGTGGCGCGCTGCGGTTGTCGACACGAGACTGCAATTGTCGGAGTTCGTCCGCCGACGGCGTGTCCAACCGCAATCCGCGGTCGCCGCCGAGGCAAGCGCGGCGCAGTTACACGTTGCGGCTTCGTCGCCATCTCTCACTCGATCGCGTGGTGCCGCATCGACGTCCGCCTTACACGATCGACGGACAACGCGTCCGAGAGTCGTGGTCGGCCGAGAGCGGTTGTTTGCGATTTGGCGCGGATGGTGACGACTGAGCGATGTTGTCGACGGCCGGGACCAGTCGCTGGCGGCCGAGCGTGCTCGTCGATGCTCGGTCGAGTTGTCGGTCACCAGCCTTCAACTTGTGGTTCGTGGGACAGCGCGTTGAGCGCCGGAGCTGGAGCTCTATCAGGCACTTGAGCGGTCGCAAGGTAGTCCGTGTCATCGTCTATAGAGCAAGTACGGCTGTTAACCTAACAGACCACCATGCTTGTGCACTGGGGCGTCTATTCTGTGGTGAGATTAGACAAGATTATATAAATTCAATAATTATTCATGTACTTTTGGATTAGAATGGTACAGGGTGCCCTCTACCAGTCTAATCTCACAACGGAATATACGCCCCAGTGCACAAGCATGGTACAGTAGTCAGTTACTTCCCATTTTACAGCTTGTTGTAAACAAGTCGAGGGTTGGCGTAGAGAAAAACAATTCACCATATATTATGGACCGACAGCTGACAGCAAGTTATGAACACGGCGACGAGGGTGCGATGGCTTAGTGCATGTCTTGCGTCAGCGGCACGTAGCCATCTTCCATCGAGATGATCGACGGCTCCTTCTTCTTGGACACGGAGACGGCAACGATCGCCGCGACGGCACCCACCATGGCGACGGCCACCAAGAGCAGCGCCGCTTGGCCCCCAGGCGTATCGTACACCGAGACAAGCTTGTGCGCTGCCTTGGCCGAGCACTGGCGCGCCTTGTACGCAAACGCCGAGGCGTAGCCGTCACCGTAGTTTGCGTCCTCGTTGTTGTGGGGGCACGAGGCCTGGACGCCGTTGCAAAAGCGGCTCGTGTCACAGAGGTCCTCAGCGGCGTAGCACAGCGTGTCCTTCGCAATGGTGTCGACGCACTTGCCGCTGCCGTCGCAGTAGTCGACGCCGTCGCACGCGTGGTCGGACGACTCTCCGATCGACGTGCACTCGGTCGTTCGGGATGCAAACTCGTTGCGGGGGCATTTGCCGTTGTAGCTTGTGCAATACTCGGGCACGTCGCAAATATCACGCGCTTGGCGGCAGACAACGTCGCTGCCGAGGAAGGTTTCGATGCAGCCTCCGTGCCCGTCACAGACATCGACGCCGTCGCACTTGCCACCACTCGACTTGCCAATCTGCGTGCAGACCTTGCCCATGGGCGCGGCCTCGTCGTCAGGACAGACGCCACACTCACCCGAGCAATACTCGGGCTCGTCGCAAAGGTCGACTTCCCGGCGGCAGAGATGTTTCGTGCCTTTAAAGTGGTCAATGCACTTGCCGTAGCCGTCGCAACGGTCAACGTCGTCGCACGCGCCGCCCGACGATTCGCCAATCGAGGTGCACTCGATTCCCTTGCGTGCAAAGCTGTTGCTGGGGCAGTCGCCGCTGACGCCCGTGCACGTTTCTGCCTCGTCACAGACGTCGACGGCGCGGCGGCAAATGTGTCTGGTGGACTTGTAATTGTCCACACAGCGACCACGGCCGTCGCAATAGTCGGGTGCGTCGCATGGCCCACCCGTGGACTTGCCCATCTTGGTGCACACTTTGGACGACGGCGCAAACTCGTCGTCCGGGCACTGGCTGTTGTCGCCACTGCAGTACTCAGCCGCGTCGCAGAGGTTGCGGGCCCTGCGACAGACGATGGTTTGGTCCTTGTAGCCGTTAAGACACGTGCCGTCGCCGTCGCAGTAGTCATTCTCGTCGGCATCGCACGGACCGTCGTTGTCGTTGCTCTGGCCCGGACAGAGCGCACCGCGCGGCAGCTGCGTGTACGTGCACTTGCCATCCTCAAAGTCCAAGAACTCGCGACATGGAATCACGGGGCACCCTTCTTCGCTGGCAATCGTCACAGTGTCAACATCAGCCGAGTCCTCCCGGTAGCGGTGGTTAACCGCGTAATCGGTGTGCGTCGGCCCATACCGAGGCCCTTTGGTGTACGTTGGCTGTACCGGTACGTTCGTGATCGGCGCGATGTCAATGATGGGGTCGAGTACGTCCGTAATCGGATCGAGCACGTCAATGATGGGGTCGAGTACGTTCGTGATCGGCGCGATGTCAATGATGGGGTCGAGTACGTTCGTGATGGGATCGAGTACACCCGTGATGGGATCGAGGACACCCGTGATGGGATCGAGTACGTTCGTGATGGGATCGAGTACACCCGTGATGGGATCGAGGACACCCGTGATGGGATCAAGTACGTCAATGATAGGATCGAGTACACCCGTGATGGGATCGAGCACGGGCACGATGACGTCCGTGATGGGATCGAGCAGGCCCGTAATAGGATCGAGCACGGGCACGATGACGTCCGTGATGGGATCGAGCAGGCCCGTAATAGGATCGAGCACGGGCACGATGACGTCCGTAATGGGATCGAGCACGGGTGCGATGACGTCCGTGATGGGATCGAGTAAGTTGGTGATGGTGTTGAAGAACTGGGGTTGTAGCTCGGTTTCTGCCGCTGCGAGAGCGCGGGATGTTACAGTCGCCTTCGTGACGTCCTTCGACGCAACTGATGCCACTTCTTTGTGAGCGTTGGCATGG